GGGATTGGGAGTGAAAATTCACCTAAACAAGATATTTTCCTTATGTACAGACATTGAGAGTCTTTACCTTCAGGGAGCTTAGTGTCTAGTAAAGGAGAAAAGAAATAGAGTGTTGAGCATAGGATTTTTTTTTCTTTACACTAGGGTCAGTTAGACATTTAATTTGAGAGGTTGTAGGGTTTGGATTGTTGATCCTTAAAGTCAGTCAAGAATTTCTTAATCAATATGCTAGGCACTGTGCTAAGCACTGGTGAGAAAGAGAAAGGTAAAAAACTGTACCTGTTCTCAAAGATCATACAGCCTGATAGGGAAGACAACATGTTGTACAAACCAGATATGCATTGGGGAAATTGAGGGTAGTTTTAGTGGATAGGCACTAGCATTCATTAATGGGGATCAGGAAAGGCTTCTTGTAGGAGGTGAGATTTTAGCAGAAACTGAAGGAAACCAGGAGGCAACGATGAAGAAGAGAAAACTTTCGGGCCTGGGGGGAGGGGAGGGGAGGGCGCACAGTGAATACGCCCCAAGTTGGGAGATAAAGGAATGCCACGGAGGCCAGAGGCTAATGTAGGGGAATAAGGTATAAGAAGACTAGAAGATGAGAAGAGGACCAGGTTAGAAGGACTTTAAAAGCCAAACAGGATTTTACATTTAATCCTGGAGTTAATAGGGAGCCATTGGAGTTTGTTGAATTGGTGATTACTTTAGAAAGATGAATTTGATAGCTGAGTGACTGATGGGGTTGTAGAAGGGAGAGACTTGAGGCAGCCACAGCCAGCAGCAGCTATTGCAGTCATCCAGGTACGAGGCGATAAAGGCCTGCACCAGGTTGGGGCACTGTCAGACGGGAGAAGAGGGCATGTGCCAGGGATTGGATGGGGCGGGTAGAGTGGTGAGTCAGGAATCGAAGTGAACGCTTAGGTTTTGGACCTGAGAGACTGGCAGGATAGTGATAACCCTGAACAGTAATAGAGAAGTTAGGAGAGGGTGAGGGGAAGGTTTTGGAGGAGAAAGATAAGTTCTGCTTTAGATATGTTGAGTTTGAGATGTCAGTGGCACATCTGGTTCAAAATGTCTAATAGGCATTTGGAGACTGGGAGAGATCAGTTAGACAAAGGGATCTGAGGATCATCTGCATAAAGATGATAATTGATTGAGAGCAGATGAGATCACCAGGCAAAAGACCGTAGAGGGAGAAGAGGGCTCAGGACAGTCTTGAGGAACACCTTAGTACGTGCTAACTATGGGCCTTTGTGAGGATCCTACAAAGGAGTCTAAGGAGTGGTCAGATAGGTAGGAGAATCAGGAGTCCTGAAAACAGAGAGGAGAGAGTATCAAGGAGAAGAGGGTGGTTTGAGTTTCAAAGGCTGCAGAGAGATCAAGAAGAATGAGGATTGAGAAAAGGCCATTAGATTTGGTGGTTGATACTTTTGGAAAGAGCACTTTCACTGGAATGAAGTCAAGTAGAATGCAAAGTTAAGGAGAGTGAGAAGAAAAAAAAAAATGGAGGCACTAATCATAAATGGCCTTCTCAAGGAGTTTAACCTTGAAAGGGAGGAGCGATATGGAAAGATAGCTAGGATAGATTGATCAAGTGAGGGATTGGGGGAGGGGACAACCATGTTTGCAGATGGCAGAGAAGCAGCCACTGCACAGGGAGAGATTGAAGATTTGTGAGTTGGGATAATAGAGGAGGCAATCTGTTTGTTGGAGAGAATGAGATAGAGTAGCATCACTTGGGCATGTAGAGGGACTATCGTTGGCAAGAAGGGCCACATCACTGTGTGAGACAAGAGTGGAGGGGATAGTGTCTGAGAGGAGGAAAGAACGAGCTCTCAGTAAAAGGCCTCAGTTTGTTTAGTGAAATGAGGCAAGTTTCTCACCTGGGGTGGGATGAGATGTTTGAGGAAGTATGAAAAGGTTTAGAAAAGCCACTGGTGGGTGGGATAGTGAATTGATGATGACCAGTTGGCACAATTTCATGATTTTCTCCAGTTTCATTCAGCATCAGTGAACAAAAGCAAAGACTAGATAATAGGAGTGATCCAAAGCTGAGGTTTGGGAAGGCAAAATAAATGGGACAGTATTTGAGAGGACCGTCAAGTTAAACTGGTTTGTCAGGGGTTCAAGATGGGGGAGAAGAATGTAGCCAGTTCTCAGTTTGTCCTTACTTCCATTATTAGTCATTCTCATTTCCAGAAGACCAAAAAGTTTAATCTTTTTTTTTTTTAAACTTGTTTTTCAGAATTGAGAAACGGGAAAAATACAGTCGGAGACGTCCTTATAACGATGACTCTGATATTGACTACATTAATGAAAGAAATGCCAAATTCAACAAGAAAGCAGAAAGATTCTATGGAAAATATACAGCTGAAATCAAACAGAATTTGGAAAGAGGAACAGCTGTCTAAACTTCAGGAAATGTTGGACGTGGCAGTAAATTGAGTCTGAGGGGAAATTGCTATCAGTGAACTGTAGAAATAAAGGATTTGTACTCTTGTATTTAACACTCAGATAATTTTGTGTATTTTCATACTTCAAAGTAATACTATTTTACGAAAAATGCAATTTGTAAAGATTTGACCAATCTTGGTAAGGAAACTTTCCCCACCTCTGATATTTACCAGGCTGGGACACCATGGACAAAATCATTTAAGCCTGTATTTCCAGTTGTAAAATGGGGATGATAAACTAGTTCCTAACTTGTAGGGCTGTTTAGGGGCAAAATGAGAATGTACATATGATGCTTTGTAAATTTACATATAAATTGCTACATCAGAGTCATTTTCTTATTATGTGTTGTGTTATTAGCGGTGGGGTTATCAGCTGCCTCTTCCCTGGACTTAAGTGAATCAGAATTTGGGTTAGAGATCTTGAGACCATCTCCTTCCTCCACCCTATACCTGAACCCCTCTCCAGCATGCCCAGTGGTCAGTCATCCACCCCTTGCTACAAGGCCTAGAAAGACTATTTTGGCAGAACATTTTTGTGTTGTATTGCTTACTGTATGCAAAACATATGTTTAGGTAATCCTTTTAGCGGGTAAGGCTGTATACCTTGTCTGGGTTTTGTTCATACTCAGCAAATGGTTCAAATTGTTTTCTTCCTATTTGTAAATGTATCAAGCATTGAAGTTTAAAGGTTGCTAAGTAAAAATCACTTCTAAATAGAAGGCACTGGAAAGAATTCAGTAGGTAAAGTTGCATTCTAAACGTCAGCAAAGGTACAAATCGGGTGGGGAACCTCAGCTTCCAGGCCACATGTGGCCTTCTAGGTCCTCAAGTATGTCCCTTTGATTGAATCCAAACTTCACAGAATAAATCCCCTTAATAAAAGGATTTGTTCTGTAGAACTTTCAAAAGGCCACAGGTTCCCCACCCTGGTATAAACAAAGTCAGAGGTAAAGCTAAATTTTTTGTTGTCTTCAGTTGTCTTAACTTTTCACGGCTCGCTTTGGGGTTTTCTTGGCAAAGATACTGGAGTGGTTTGTGATTTCTTTAGCCAGCTCATTTTACAGATGAGGAACTAAGGCAGACAGGGTTAAGTGACTTGCCCAAGGTCACATAGCTAGTTAAGTGAGGCTGGATTTGAACCCAGGCCTTCCTGACTCTAGGCCTAATCTACTGTGCCACTTAGACCAAAGAAGGTAAATTTTGGCTTCCTTGAAAATAAGTGCTCATAGCTTCAATTTTCGCATTTACAGCTGGGATCCATATGTAGTTAAAGGTGACATGCTAAATTTTCACTTATTCATCCTAATGTAAGATAGAGGTAGCACTGAAGACCTCAGAATTAGGGTTAATGTATCTGTAATTTCACACACAATTACTCCCAATACTACAGTGATTCTGTGAATGACTAATTATTTTGAAAGGAGGAAAAGCCACAGCCAAGACCAAGTTAGAAAGAAAATTCTAATAAAAGGTCAGGTATTAAGTGGTTATATCTTGGATGGCCAAAGTATCCCCATAACTTCAGTTTCTATAGCCTGAGCTCATCTCCACTTAGTCCCAATAACTATTCTTTACTAACCCCTGCCTCTGATTAATACAAGCATTTTAAAAATCGTCAATATCCTAGTATAAAAAACTTGGGCATTACACTCCAATGCGGAAAGCAGGGGCCCTTCACTGTCAGTCGCCACGACCCTTGGGCAAAAGAGAAGTTAGAGGAGTTACAATCTGCAGTAGGGCAATACTGAATCTGACATCAACAAAATTTAAACGTGAAAATGTCACACCTACAGTCCCTCATATCTGCAAAGGGAAAGATGCGTTCTCAGAAAAAAAAAATGGGGAAAAGGGCAGAGACTGTAGGTAAAGTGTTGTTGCTCTTTCCATTTGTATTACAATCAGGAAAAAGTCTATGACTTCAACTTTGAAATGCACAGCTCTTTTCAGTGATACCATCCATGCTCAGTTCACATTCACATGACAGTGGGACTGACAGAAGCAACATGGAAATACCAAATACAGATAGGAGTAACGGGAAACTACACAAGCATAATTGTACAGGAGGCTATATGCATATGCTACCTAGAAGATGGCTCTGCTCTAAATTCACACAATCCGGTGACCAGTTTTGGAATTATTCAAGTAAACATCCAGGTCCCAAAACAGCTTCAAGTATACAAGAAATGATATCTTTCATCTTTATTTACAAATGCTTGGCAAAATGCCTGGGAACTACAAGACACTATGAATTAAAATGTTTCAAATTAATGTTCAATGTTTATAAAAAGAAAAAGGTAAATCAAATAAAACTTTGAGTAGGTCCAGGCCACAGATTGAAAAATTATCTTCAAGCACTCTGACAATTTCTGCCCTTAAGTCTCATTACTCCTTGGGGATGAAATATATGAGGAACTTAAACTTTAGGTTCACGAAACCTAAAGCAAATGTGAATATCTTGAGGAAATATATTTTAGCAGGCTCCTCTCCCCCTCATTCACATTACACATTATTACTTCAGTGGTAAACAGACAACAAAGAGGCAGAGGCTTGAAAAAACAAAACCAGAAATTAGACTTTATTAACAAATGAAAATATATACAATTACCAACATGCAGCTGTTCAGTTACTGAATTTTAGCTCTGGCTATATTTAACCCATTGCAATGCCACACAAATATTTACAAATATCTACATACATGAATAAAAATCCCACCTGTGATTTCTGGTCCATTTGTGCTCATTTCACTTATCTGGAAAAGAAACCTAAGATATGATACATTAAAGTACTTTAATCTTTTCATGGCCAGTTTTTCAAACTGTCTTTTATAGCTAAATAACAGCTTCTGCTACTTATGGCTCATAAGGAAGGGATGATGCTAGACATACTAGAATTTGAAAGACAGTGCTGTTTTAGGAGAACTTAAAAGTAAACTATTTTCCTCTTTCTTGATAGGAATCCACTGTCCATATGAACTCTAGCTTTTCTCTTCTTTAGAGAATCCTGCAGTCTCTTTAGCTGTTTTCTGAAGTATTGGATTTGCTACAGAGTTCTGCAAAAAGAAAATCAAGTATTGAGTCAACCTTTAAACCTCAGTATGTTTAAGGAGACATTAGCAAATTCTGAAAACATCTTTGAAATAACTATTAAAATTGTTATGGTCTACAAATTAATGTCCAATTCTAAAAGTTGACATTTGTCTGTAAGTTCAGTTTCAAAGTTTTTCATGTTACATTTGTAAAGTGGTTGTTAATGATTAAGTAATCATTATCATAATCATAGACATAGCAAATGATTTGGAAATGACTTAGACCACGAAGAAGCCTGTTACAGGTCATTTAACCCAACATTTCATTTTAGAGAAAAAGAAACCAACAGAGTGGAGTAATGGCATTCCCAAGGTCACCAGTGCTAAGCAGGAACAGGAAACTGGATCCTAGCTGACTGAGCAGGAATGTAAACAAATTTTCTAGCTCTTAGTTCCAATGTTCTTTCCACTATCTATGCTGCACCTAGGAACCAAAATGAAAATCACACACTTACACCAGAGCTGAAAGGCAGGCTTCTCTGCTGGGAAGAACTTTCATTTGAGGTTCTACTTACATCCTCATTTAATCTTCCTGACAGCTAGAAAAATGGGTAAGAAAAAAAATGTTTTTTTAAAAGACTGAGTCATCCAATTGACGACCACTTTATAAAAGAGTTCACTAGTATACAAAACTTAGCTAGAAATTTTTATAAAGAAGTTGGATCTGCTCAAAGAGGTTAGTAAGATCAGGCCCAAACAAGAGAATGGTCTGTTGAGGACTCACCCTAAAAAATTAACTCAACATCAGATTCAAATATGGGCAATATTTAGAAGTTAACAAAGAGCTCTTTTTATACCTTACTGAAGCATAGGGATCACAATAAATCCAACTAGATTTTGACTATAAATTCAGATTCCAATGGGCATATTAAAATGCTATACCAGGTTGAGTGAAACCTCAAGTTTAATTTCACTGTTTCCCATCATTCTTCAACAAAAATTAAGGAAGCATGAATGTCTTAGTTTCACCACCTATTAAATCTGCATTAAAAACACTCAAAGTAGGATAGTTAAGTCACCAAGTAGTTAACAATTATGCCTAAAATAGGTTTTCAGAAAATGGGTTCACCTGGATGGCATTTTTCACCTGTACTATATAAACCTCTTCAGATATTAAAATGTTGAAGCAGAATCTTTATTTTTTAAATCAGACATAAGTTAAAGGATTTAAGTATTAGTATCATATAAATACTTTTATTTACTTACATAAAATAACTAAACAATGACCAAGATTTGTATTAAACAGATCCCAAAGTCTAACTGGTAAGTCAAAACCACCCCTATTTTCTTAAACATAAAACTTATGGAATGTAAAGTTTTGATTTTTATGTAATAGGAAATTAAAGCACATTGCATTTGACTGATTCCAGTGCATATATCCTGCACAGCTCTGGAGAATGACAATAAACTTATCTGCAAGTGATGCAGGCCTCTTCTTCTGTTATCTCTCAATCATCTGGAATATATTGCATACATTATGAAAGGGACATCTATAACATAGATGCCTCCCCAAACCACAAAGTGTACTTTTACGGTTATTTCTGAAATGCAATTTTAGGTATTACATCTGAAGAGTAGCTAAGTTTGCATCTGTCCAAATTCTAGCATGCAGATATCCTACCATTACAAACTAAAATTTCCAATTTGTGAAAGTTAACTTTCAAGTTATTTAAACCTCTCTCACAGCAGCTTTAGCCCATGTATCAATTACCAAGAGATTTTCTTCATCAATGTCTGGAGACCACATTCATGATTTCTATAAGACAGAAATAAAGCAAGTGAACTGTACTGAATGTTGGGAGTACAGAATTTGTGGGAATATAATTGGTTGCAAATGAAAGTTAATGAATAGTTTGTACAGTATTTATTAATCTAAATCAAGTGTTAAAAAAAAATCCTTGAGAATTACATAGAAGTGCTTGAGGTAGCAGCTACAAGACTTCTAAAAGAGTTTGGAGTTAAGACCAATTAGTATTCCATGATCTGTAGAGCACTTCCCCGAAAACAAGATCATTACTTTCCCACCTTCACGATATGTATGAATTTAATTTCAATTTTTCATAGAAATGTAAACTAAAGCATTCTGAAAATAAGTCACTACATATTGCAAGTTCATCTTAGAAGTAGTTTGTTTCTGAAGTGTTCTTTGTTTAAATGAAGAAATTACAAACACCTGATAATACATACCTCAACAAGTTTTGTAGCATCACCCTGTATTTGTTTTCCATAGTTTGGGTCTTTAGATTGTGGACCAATTCTGAGACTAGCTGGCAAGTCAATATTGGCTGTTCCTAAAGCTTTGGCTGCATTAGCCTTTGCTATTTCTAAAAGTTCCATCCTATCTGGAAAAGAGAAAAAGCAAAGCAATTATTAACACCTAAAAGCTAATTTTCTATCAAGGAAATCATGCATCACTATTACCATCATGCAGGGATCAAACATACTTCTTAAAAAACAAAAACACCTATCCTTTTCTCCCCACCCCTTCAGTTTTACTCCTTTAATAAAGAGATGACATTTATGGAGTGCTTTTAAGCTGTACAAGTGCCCTGTAAAGTAGTTATTATAGCCATTATTTATTATTGTTGTTCAGTCACATCCAATTCTGTGACCCCATTTGGGGTTTTCTTGGCAAAAATACTGGAATGGTTTGCCATTTCCTTCTCCAGTTCATTTTTACAGATGAGAAAACTAAGGCAAACAGGGTGAATTGATTTGCCCATGGTCACACAGCTAGGAAGTGTCTGAGACTGGATTTGACCTCAACATGAGTCTTCCTGAGTCCAGACCCAGCTCTCTATCCCCCTCCACACCTAGCTGCCCTACACCATTATTAGCCATCCCCATTTTACAGATATGGCAAAAGTATTAAGTGACCTGCCCTTTAAATGTCAAGGGTCAAAGTTTGAGCCCAGGTCTCTCCTAATTTCAAATCTAGCACTTTCTCAGTATCTTGGGAAAACAAAGGGGACATATAGTGTAACAGAAAGTTATGGCTTCTGCCAGGCTGTCAACAGACCAAGATCACAATATCTTTAACTTCTTTAGCTCCTTACAGACCATTAATATTACATTTACATTTCACAACTGGAGCCTCATTACATGACTGTGCCCTACTGACTTTGCTGCAATTAAAGAATTGAATCATGTAGTCAATAAACAGAAAATAAAAACTGGTTTTTAAAAGCTCCCAGCTACTCTGCAACTTTAAAAAGAGCTATTGCTGGCAGTGGAGTTTGGGGTGTGGTCAAATGGGAAGTTATATAAGTCATTTCGCGCAACAATGTTACAAATGGAATTTAGACAAACATACAGTAAGTAACTAAATGAACAATTACAGACATATTTAGGCAAATTCTCTGTTCTACAGCCACTTTGGCTTATTCATACAGCTGAGGTTCAATGATGACTAAGTGAGAAATCTTTAGTTCACACGTACGGTATATGACTTAATACTGTTTGAGGCACTGTTGAAACACTCCTATTCCAAAGATTCCAAAGTCTAGAAGATTTGAGTTCAAATGCAGCCTCAGACACTTATTAGCAATGTAACCCTGAGCAGGCACTTAACCCTTATTTGCCTCAGTTCCTCATTTATAAAATGGGGACACATTGGAGAACAAAATGGCCCACCACTCCAGTATCTTTGCCAAGAAAACCCCATGGACTTTGGTCAAAACAAAAGTCCACAGGGTCACACAAAGTCAGGCATGCTTGAACATTTCCAAAGATGAATTACAAATATAGAATTCCCCACTGCTATACACATGAAGTGTCTTGTTTCTTTTTTTCTTTTGCAGAAGACCAAAGATGACTTGGTGGGAAAAACAAACAAAAAACAATACCCTGCTTTTTAAAGTGTTAAGAGATAACCTTTCTAGAACTTTATTCAATAACCACAACTCATGTTAAAACATTTGTTGATTTGAATTTAGTCTGATACTACTAGTCAATTAAAAGAAGAGAGGAGTAAAGGAAAAGTGAAAAACAAGTAGGGGTGGAAACAAAGGGAACCAGTAAAAGAGGAAGAAGCCTTAAAAAGTACTTGAAAATTTGTCACCACAAGCAGCAATTAACTTATTCGTCCAAAGCCCAAGAGATCACCTAGTCACCAATGACTTTCAAAGTGTTAATTAGCTGGTAAAGCAGTTCAGGTTCTTTTTAAAGGCTTCACACTGCACTTGACACTCATGAAGGAAAATATTGTTTTTGAATAACCTACAGTGGGTTATGGAGCCCCTGAGCCAGATCATTGGCCCCAAACTCTCTACCATTGCCTCTATAAGGGACCAACTTTTTAACTTATGATTCTAAAGGAATTAGCAAAGTAAGACCCCTTAAAATGGGTTCAGTTTAACATGGCTGAATAGATCCCTAGAACTATACTGGAATTCCTGCAAACTTTCATCAAATCCAAGGTAAACAAGAAATACTTCCCTAATTTAAGTATAATCAATCATTATACCAGACAGACTTTAGCACTAACTTTGCAGAACTCAACTTTAATGTAACTGGTTTCCATTCAATTTTTTACAAATGCTCCATAAAGTAAAGTTCACTCCCTCTATTGGAAACCATTTCTAAGGGGCCAGCTAGGTGGCACAGCGGACAGAGCACAGACCCTGAAGTCAGGAGAACCCCGAGTTCAAATGTGACCTTGAACACTTGACACTTACTAGCTGTGTGATCCTGGGCAAGCCACTTAACCCCACTGCCTCACCAAAAAAGACAAAAAGACAAAATACCACATTTCTAGCGTCAAGAGATTCAACAAGTAATTTTTTTAAGATTTTGGAATAGTTTTGCTCTGCTATTCAACTTCCAGATCCGCTAGTTCTTCCGCTTGAGCAAATCGACTTACCTTTCTCGCTCAAACGCAGAGGCGTCCGGCTGCGGGATCTGGACCGAGACCGGTACCGCCAGCTCTTGTGTGCCTCTGGATAGACCGTCCGTCCGAAGCCGTAGTACCTTCGCCCCCGGGATCCCAGGTAAGCTCTCCGGTAGTACGACCGTCCGCGGGACCTGGACCTACTGCGGGACCTGTCCCGCGAAGGCGATCGGTAATACCTGCGGTAGGCCCGAGGCGGGGGCCTCTCTCGGTGCCGGCGACTGCGGGACCTCGAGCTGCTCCGGGAATAGGAGCGCGAGTAGCGGCGGAACTTCCGCTGGTGGCGCCGGCGGGACTGGGAGCGAGACCTGCTCCGCCGAGACCTGCTGCGACTGCGGGACGAGCGGCTGGAGGCGGATCGAGAACTCGCGGAGGACGACGAGCTGCGCGACCTGGACGACAGCCGGCTGGAGCGGCCCGTCTCGAAGCCCGACGGGGAGTCCTTCCCCTGGGGAGAGCCGGGCCACATGTCGTTCACGTAGCTCGTCATCGCGGCGCTCCTGCAACAAGTCACCGGAAGCGGTTAGCCTCCCGGAAGAAAAGGCCGGCGACACCCGGGCCCCGCCCTCGCCCTCCCCAGGGGCCGGGCCCACCCCAGAGGGCCAAAGGGAGGCCCCGGTAACCCAGGTGAGACGCCGCGAGGAGCCTCGCCTTGGCTGTCTGTGGGACTCCCCGGCCTACGCCCGCTACCCAACCGCAGGCTCCCCGGTCCGCGCACGCGCAAGCTCTCCTCGGGCCCGTTCGCCAACCGCCTCCCTCCTCTCTTCTCGCCTCGGCAGGCCTAGCACGCAGGCGCGATTCCTCCCCCCCTCCCCCCCCCCCCCACCCCCCACCCCCTACCCCCTACCCCCTACCCTCGCCCGCTCTTTTTCCTCCGCCAGCCCAGGCGGAGAAAGCCTAGAGTCCAGAACTCAGCCTTAGAAGGGGGACTTACTCGAAACCGACACCTAAAACAGTGAGTGAGAACAGGGAACCCGGTCGTCCCCTCTTTCCAACCAAGAAACAGCTCGTAAGGATCACCTTCCGCACTCCACCGTCGTCCCCGCCTTCTGAAAGCGCCGACGCCCAGTAGCCGCCGAAAGTACCAGAAGCCCGCCTCGTCGCGCACGCGCAACGGCAGCAGGCGGGGCGAGGGTGGAGCTAGTCTTGCCAAGCCCAGCACCGCCCCGCACAGACATTCCATCGGAATGCGCATGCGCGTCTCACAACTCCCACATCCGGGCTTCGGGCAGGACCATTAGATGTTCGGTGGCCTCGGCCTTGGCTGGGGAGTGTTTTCAGGGCGGAGGAGTTGCAGAGAGGCTGCGGCGGAGCGCCGGGGACTGACTGACTGACTGACTGACAGACTGACCGACGGACAGTCGGACTGACGGCCGCCAGGTCCGCGCCGCTGCTGAGGGCTGGGGGCCGGTAAGTGCGGGGCTCGCCGCTGGGGCGAGGGCCGGGGAGAGGAGGCGCCCCCAGAGCCTCGCCTTACCCGGGAGTGCTTCGGTCCCTCGCGACAGCCCGTGAGGCATCCGCCAGAGGTGTCAGCCCGCCCTGAGAGGCGAGGAAACTGAGGCACACCCACAGCCCCATCCTCTTCTGGGTGCCGGAGGCGACATTCGAATGCGGGTCTCACGGGCTCAAGCCCGCAGCCCCCCACCCCCTCTTCCTCTTCTGGAGGGGAGAGGGTTAGTGAAGCTCCGGGGCCGGGTGGGGGGGAGACTGTCCTAGGTCCCCTCCCCAGCACCGCCCCCCCTTATGAGCCCTGGAATTCCCCGAGAGCTTCCTGCGGAGCCCCGCCCTTGGGCGGGCTCCAGGGAACCCTCTTCGGTGTCACCCCTGCCCAGGGGACCAGTAGATCCAGAGGAGGGGAGTGCTGACACCCCACGAAGGGAGCGGACGGGCTCTCTGCTCCCCCTTTCCTTCCACCAGGGTTTTGGAGGAGGGAACAGCTCTGGGCGGTGTTAGAGGGAGGGTAGCTTGGCCGAACGCTTTGAAAAAGGGTGCTGCCTGGATTTGGAGCGAGAGGACACGAGTTTTGTGACTTTAAGCAAGGGGCTGTCCTCTGGGCCTCAGTTTCCCCACTTCTGCAGTAAAATCTTGTCTAGCTCTGAATCAGGATCCTATAAAATCACCTAGTCCACCCACCGCCCACCCAGTTTACAGATGAAGACAAGTTCAGAAAAGTTATGACTTCAACTAGGGACACAACTGATAAAATCGATATTTATTCAATGTTTCAAAAATCCCTGTTTTAATCCATTTTTTCATGAGTTGCTGTGGCCGGTCTTTTTGAAATGGTCTTTGTGCTTAAGTAGACATAGCCTTTTAAATTTGGTTAGGTTAAAGATCAGCCTTTAAAAGGTAGGGAGTGGGGATGGAGTGGTCACCTACGTGCCAAAATGAGACACAAAATGAGAATTTCAGTGGACGTAACCTTTCAACTATTTTTTTTTCTGTCAGAGTAGTGAGGTTTTACTATAACATCAGTTAGGCCGGTGATATTCCTAATGAATCTGCACAATTTAATGGGGATAAGATTGGTACTTTTATTGAGAAAATGTGGATGGGATCAAGGAGTGGCAAGTAGCCTGGGATGGGCCAGGTGCAGACCATGAAAGCCCGGGCTGGGTTGGGTTGCTGGGCCACAATGAAAGGACATTTGAAAGGCTTATGCAGGGATGGGCAAGATGCTTCAGGGAAAAGCCAGGGCTGAAATGTGTGAGAAAGTTCAAGGACTGGGGGTCTTTCCCTTTTTAGGTTGAAGTTCCCATGACCCCATCATTCCCCACTCAAACAAATGGGACCCAAAATCTTTTGGAGTAAGGGGCAAACGTCCTGGCTTCTGAAAATGCTTCCTGCTTGTTGCCGGCAACTAAGAATCACACCTGACGGGAGAGCGTGAACTGAAGAAACATGGGCCAGGCAGGTCAGCCAAGACTGAACCGTTTATTCATCTGAGGGTCATAGCATATATAGGAAAAAGTTTGGAGCTACAAAGGATCCCTGGTGTGGGCATATTCTGTAACTGTTACTGATAACTTTCAAGGTTCAGAACTCGGTAAAAAAAAAATGCTTTCAGGACATACATCAAAGGAGCATACAATAAAAGTATCAAGAAAAGGATTACATACATTTTAAACAAATGGTTGCAAGATAGAGATTAACAGTCAACTAACAGGCCTCAACAATCATTCTCAGGGCTGTCTCAGGTTCTTATCTCAAAGTATGTGACTAGTCCTCCCTAGTTTGCCACACGTTATCCCTCATGCCAGACTTTTATTGTGTCACGGCTGGGCAGTTCCAGGAGCCCCTTAATGAATAGGAGAGTGGTGAGCCAACATCCTGATTAAGTGAGCCCTTGAAAGGAAGAACGGACAGGAGTTAAATTCCAACCTGAATTCTTTAACCCTTTGTTGGACTGATCAGAGCTGGCCCTCTACACCTGCTGGCAAGAGCTGTAGAGTTTTTCCTGCCTCAAGAAGGTCCCAGAGAGGATTTGACTGGAACCCAGCACAGGCTACATCCAGGGGATGATGGGTGGACATAGGCTGATACCCACTGTTTACTTCCAACCGTAGGTGAATGGCCTGTAGTCTGGAAGACAAAAATAGTTTTCCAACCATGCAGTGTCAATTCCACCTCATAGCCAGACTCAGGAATAACCAGGTGGGTAACATTCCTTCTGGTCTTGACTAGAGAAGGGCTTGAGAGGGTCAGACAAGACCCTGTACAAGTCCACCAATATGTTTCGGTTTTTGAGTGCCGGGAACCCTGAAATACAGGGGTACAGGGTGGGTCCTCCTTGAAAGAATTCGACCACTCAAGCCTTCTTTCAGCCAGAGAAGTGAGATTTTATTGTAACACCAGTTAGGTGGGTGAGATTCCTAATGAATCTGCACCTCAACTATTTTTTAAAAATATTTTTATCCGTTTTTTTTTTTTTAATCACCAGAAATTCTCTCAGGATTCCTTTTCCTTTGGATCCTGAAGAGCTATTCATCTATTTAAGTTTAATTACGGACTCATGGTGCAAGCTGCTGCCACTTGGAGGGTAAGAAAAAAATTTAGAGTTTTGATCAGTCATGATCCCTAACCTCATGGAGATTAGAGGTTGGTGGAAGAGTAAGACCCATAAGCAGGTCATTGTACTGTGTTGGATGATAGATAGGAGACAGAGTTGTAAGGAAAAGTGCTTGCATTGGAGTTGGGTAGAGGGTGGGTTGGACTAAAGTAGATGAATGGGACGAGAAGGTATTCTAGGCATAAGAAAAATAGCGTGAGATGTTCAGAGGATTTGACTGTAGTGGAGATTACATAGAAAATTGTATTATGAGATAAGGCTGGAAAGGTATGGTAGAAAGCTTTCAATGCCAAGCAAAGGCATGGTAGGTAGTAGGGAGTTACTGAAGATCTTTGAGCAGAGCCGTGACCGGATCTTTTTGTAAGAAAGTGTATCTTTCTTGGAGAAGACTGAACAAAGGTACTCAAGGTGGGGTCAGACTAGACGGATATTGCCCGACAGTCAGAATCTATAGGCTGATTTGTAATTTAGCTGAATCTATGCAAGTGATTTGTAAAGTAAAATGGAATCAGAGTGGTTTCAGCTCTTAGAGACATAACCAAGACATTGCTCAGATGGGACTCTTCCCTAGTTTGGACCCATCTTGTTTTAGAGTCTTTTTCAAACTAAGCAGGCAGGGCAAGATTTTGTAGTGGAAAGAGCACTAGACTTGAAGTTGGAAGGGAGTCGCAGCCCTACTATTTCTAGCTTTGTAATTGGGAGTGACTCTCAGCCTCTCTGAGCCTCAGTTTATACATCTGTAAAATGGGGATAATAATGCCCTTCAAAGGTTATTATAAGGAAAGAGCTTTATTATGAAAAGCACTGTATAAATACGGGTTTCATGGTAAAAATGGGAATCTAGCACCATTAGATGCATGAGAAATATTAAATATTTGAAAAACATTTTCAAGATTTAAATCTTTTTTCATGAATGGCCCTAATTATTAGGTACTCTGTGTATGAAAAACCTGGCATCTGACCAGTGAAACAGAGCAGCTAGTCTGCTTGATTAGCAAGTTACTGCCTTTCTTTATATGCTGAAATTGTATCCCACAAATGGCTGGTACTGAGACCAGTAGAACTTGCTAGCTCAGGTCTGCTAGAGTCATTCCAGTATAATAAACAAGCGCTTATCCTCTTCATGGCCTCTATGTGGACTAGCTTGTTAGAGTCTAAGGTAAGTATAATAATAAAGTGATTAATAATAATAACAGCCGGCCTTTCGATAGCTTTACACATGTTAACCTCATTTGCTCTTTTCAGCCGTCCTGGAAGATAGGTGCTCTTATTATCCCTATTTTACAGATGAGGAAACTTGAGGCTAAGGTGGGTGAAGTGACTTTCCTAGGGTCACATAACTACTAACTGAGTCAAGATTCATCTCAGATCTTCCAAACTCCAGGTCCAGTGCACTGTCCACTGTGCTCCATTTCTAGAAGTGAGAGAAGAAAGCAGGAAGCAAAGAATGATGAGACAGAATGTTTAGTAGAGTGAGTAGAAGGAAGCTAATAAAATTTATTTTCTGAAAGAAAATTTCCTCGAATACCTGAAATGTAGAACACCAAATCTCCAAGTTGGAAGAGACCTCTGAGGCTCTCTCTTCTAACCCATAGCTGAACAAAAATGCCCTCTGCATTTTACCTGGCTAATCAGGCCAGCCATTGATGGAAGACTTCCAACAAGGGCCTCCTTTCCTCCTAAGGCAGACCCTGCCACTTTAACAATGGTTGTTAGGGAATCCTTTCCAATATCAAGCCAAAATTTTCTTCTCTGCAACTCCTGTGTCTCACCGTTTGAGGCCCAGGAGAACAGATGACAATCCTTCAGATGCTTGAAAGCAGCTCTTCTATCCCACTAAGGCTTCTCTCCTCTAGTCTAAATATCCCCATTCCTTCAAGTGATCCTTATGGGACATGGATTCAAGGCTCTTCAGTATCCTCTTTGTCCTATGCTGGATACCTTCTAACTCAAGGTTTCTTCTGGGATCCATGAACTTGTTTAAATATTTTGGTAACTCTTTCAGTATAATTGGTTTCCTTTGTAATCCAATGTATTTTATTTTATACATTTAAAAACATAGTCCAGGGGCAGCTAGGTGGCACAGCGGATAGAGCTCTGACCTTGGATTCAGGAGAACCTGAGTTCAAATCCAGTCTCAGACACATGACACTTACTAGCTGTGTGACACTGGGCAAATCACTTAACCCCAATTGCCTCACCAAACAAACAAGACTGAGAATCACTGCTCTAGTTTGTCAGTACTCTTCCTGAGATGTGTGGCCCAGAATCCAGATGTGCTCTGGCCGTGGCAGTGACACCTTCCATCCTGAACATTATGTCACTCTTTGTATGGCCTCAGGTCCATGGAGTGTTCTACTGGAAATCTTCCAAACTAACACTGAACCATTAAGGAGTGAGACTGTTTTTGCCTTTCTCTTATTCCCTACACTTAGCACAATGCCTAGCACGTGATAAGCTCTTATTAAATGCTTGTGGACTGACTGCTCTTTAGATTATCACATAGGCCGTGTCTTTATATTTTGTTCACGTGATTAGCGTGAGAGAGAGCATAATCGTGATCAAAAAATAATCAAATGCTTGTCTGGAATCAGGGTAAACTGCATTGTTTTCCCTAATCTACTTGTCTTGTAACCCTGTTAATAAAGGAAGTAATGTTATTTTCTCTCTCTCTCTCTCTCTCTCTCTCTCTCTCTCTCTCATACAATTGACACTGCCATAGAAAATATGGAAATCTTGTTGTAATCTGATGTACTGACTCTTAAAATTACCTGAATTCCTTTTGACTCTAAAATGTTTGTGTTAGAACAGACTGTGATTAAAGTCAGTCATTTAAAACTAGTGAAGCAGCTGTCTAGATCTGTAACGCTGGCCATCAACTTTTGGAAAGTATCCAACCAGCAGGTAAACATTTTACTGTTGGGGCAAGAACCTACTTAATATTACATAACTCTATCAAAACCATCCTTTAAATGCAGTATGTAAGGTCATTGATTTAGAACCAGAAGGGCTCTCGGGCATATATACACATGAGTGAATCTTTTGTTTCTCAAAATTAGAAATGTTCAGACACTTCCTCATTACTTCTGTGCCTCTGTGATTTCATTGACATGGGATATCTGCTTTCAGTTCTGCAATTTGCAACCCATATATGGCTTTTTATCTTGTCCATATCCTCCCATAAATCCTTCATAGAGAATCTAACCAGTGTACAGAAGTTCTTCCTCTAGGTCTGTTAACTTTTCTCTTGGTACTACAATAACCAGGCTTTCTGTCTGTTAACTCTCACTCTCTACATGATCAACTCACCTGATTTTCCAATCATGTATTTCCCATGTGGTATCTTTAGGCTGCTTCTCACATGCAAGTCATCACTGGTAATCTCCTGCAGCCTCGTTATACTCCTTGTATGTGTCTCTACTTCCCTTAGATCCCCACCACAGCATACAGGATAAGTGGTCACTGCACCTTGGCTGGAAGACCTCCTGTGAAGGAAAACCCATTATCTCCCAAGATGGACTGTTTTACTTTGGGGTAGCTCTAATCATTAGGAAACTTTTTCCTTTGATAATAAAAATAGATAGTTACAGAAACTTTATCAGATCTGTTTCATTTTTTGCCTTTTTTTGTCCTTGAGGTTTTACCTACAGAACTTACTGGGATGATGGGGCTTAGTTGAGCCGCTTAGCCAGACTGACTGCATCCTTGTTTTCCCCTCTTCTCTGTCTTGTAAGGTGGTACAACTGTAACCGTCCACTGTTGTCATCATCTACTATTCTCCTCTGTAATGTTTTACAGATGAATTTCTGTTCTAAACCAGTGTTGCTTTTACCTGGTGTGTCTCTGCTTGACAGGGCTCAAGCATTTGTGGACTTCTTTAGACTCCTTGTTATGGCAATTACTTTACCTCAGTTGAACTCCTGGGGAAATGGTGACGATCAATGTCAGTGTCTTTTCCTTGGTCTTTGTTTGACTAGGCCAGTAGGCCGTTGTGACTGCATGTAGTGTTGTGTCATCTTTAATCTTTCTTCTTCTATGATGTAAGATGCAAGGAACCCCTTTGAGAGAAGACCTGGGAAGCCAACAGAGGTGCCCATAGCCTCTTCCCCCCTCAAATCCAATACAGCTGCCAAAGCAACATTCCTTAAACACAGCCATGACTCTCACTCTCCTGTTCAGGAAACTTTGGCCCCTCTGCTGTTGTGGGGTAAAAGACAAACTCTCTTGGCATTCACAGCCTTTCACAATCTAAATCCAGCCTACTCTGCTAGGCTGATTCCAGTCACTCCACCTTACACCCTATACACTTCAAACTAACCTGCTTACTGTTCCCCCAATTGGGATTCTCTCCACCTCTCAGAACCTATTTCTGTTCCAGATCTCAGTTCTCAAGGCCACCTCCTCAAGAGGCCTATTCTCCAATTGTTAGTCTTCCCGCACCCCCCACCCCACCCCCATTTAATTTGTTTTTATTTGTATTTATCCTGTATTTACTTTGACATATCTATGAATATGTTACATCACCAGTACTTAACACAGTGCCTTGTACATAAGAAGTGCTTCATAATGCTTGTTGATTGATTGATTTATTGATTGGTAAATGGCATGGTTATCGAGTTGCAGTTGATACCAAACTGGGAGTGATAGCTAACACACCAGATGTCCTAAGATTCAAAAAGATCATGACAGGTTAGAATGTGGAGTTGAAACTAATAAAAGGATTAAGGTAAAATCTCATACTTGGGTTTAAAAATCAGTTTTGCAAACATGAGACAGACCCGACTAGGTAGTCACTCAGAAAGATGTCAGAGTTTTGTGGACTGCAAACTGAACATGAGTCAGTTTTGCAATCTTGCAGCTATGAAAACTGATGAAATCTTAGACTCCAATCAGATGAGCCTCCTGTCCAGAATTGGGAGGTAAGAGTGCTGCTACCCTTAGCCTGGGTCAGACCACATGTGGAGCCCGAGGCTCAGTGCTTGGGGCACACTTTAGGAGTGAGACTGATCAGCTTGTCAGAGTTTCTCCAAACACTCCAGTGTGCACATGACATAGTATTGGATTGCATCAAGTCCCAAGATCTCACAGAGCTTCACGAGAGATCTGTAATGGCCTGGCCAACCTCACAGGAAAAACCAATTAGATAAAGAAAATCTGTTGCCCAGATTCGGTATATGTCTTAATGGACACTGTATAGCTTGTCCATCACTCTGAACTTCTGGGACAAACAAGTACAGATGAACAATGAACTGGGTTCCCAGTGGAAAAGGAGGAGGCAAAGCAGGCTACGTTCCTTTTGGGAAATTGCAAAGCATTCTTACCCTAAGTTTCCAGTAACATCAGAAGTTCATTTTTGAAAACAGACATTTCATTGGTATGGCAGGGAGACCTCGAACACCACTTCTTCTGAAGAACTCATAATGAAATTCACACAGGGAAGAGGAAAGGCAAAGAACATCATCAGAAAGTTGTGTGACTGAGAAACTGGGCTGATCGCATGGTGAGGTGGAAAGATAACAGCTGCATGGTCAACATGCTCCACTGGGCCCCTCAAAAATAGACCAAAAGTGTTGGAATGGACAGAAATCCTCTAGCTCAACCTGGGTGGCAGGGGTCCGGCACAGAGGGATTGCTATGTGAAATTGTTGGAAAATCCCAAGTCAGTGAGTTCATAGATCCATTTGCATATTGGTAAGCCAGTACTTGTTCAGTCAAGGCCTTAAGTTCAAGCCATATGAGAATAAGTTACAGAAACTGAAGATGTTTAACCTGAAGAAGAAAAAAAAAACTTAGGGGAAATGATAACTGTCTTCAAGTATTTAAAGGAGTGGGTAGAGTCCTCAGGACCTAGAAACAGGAAGACCTGAATTAAATCCAGCCTCAGACACTTACTAGCTTATGTGACCCAGGGGAAGTCATTTAGCTTCTATCTGCTTCAAGTTTCTTCATCTGTAAAATGAGGATGGTAATAGTGCCTATCTCTAAAGGTTGCTGTGAGGATAAAATATTTGTAAAGTGCTTTGCAAATCTAAAAGAACTATATAAATGCTGAATTATCATATTCTCTTTGCTTCAGGAAACAGAAAAGCAGAGAAGCATTTAGACTTGAGATCAGGAAAATTTCCCTCTGAATAATTCCTGAAATAATTTCTCTCTGAAGGAGAGTGGGCTGCCTTTTGCAGGAGTGTGACAGTCTCTTAGCAAGAGCTGGCTGAACAATTGTCCACTATATTCAAGAGAATTTTTGTGCAGGTGTGAGTTGATCTAGATGACCTCTGCAATTCTGTGATTCTCTTTCATTTCTTTGTCCTGAACCATATTTTCCAAATTATTTTTTGCATTGCTCCTTTTCGCCCACCTTTACAGTAGAATCACTATTAGGTTAAGCAATGTTTTGCTTTGGAGGATCTTATCAAGTTGACATAATCTCTGCATTTCCTCATCTTCTCTATCAGATGTTGCTGCATGAGTTGTAGTTTTTGCTTATTGTGGTTTTTTGCTTATGCATACCAAGAACACTGCAAGACAGGCTGACCAAATGTCTTAGAAAAAGCTGTTTCTGATTTCCCCCAGGTAGAGGAGGAAGCCAACTCCCTTACTTGCTTCTCCAAGGAAAACCCATGAGACAAGCCTTGGATTAAGCTTCCTTATGTCTTCTGGGTTTGGATCTAGTGAAGATGCTCATATAGAAGTTTAACTTGTTCTAGTAGCATGTCAACTCATTGGCCATTGCTTCATTAAATTAAATTAAATCTGTATTTATTCGTGGTCTAAAACTGCTGTTTTTATTGCCCTTTGCCCTTTTCTGCTATTCTGCCCCTGCAGCAGTGGAAGGGAGCAGCATAGGACTGAAGGTCATTTTTAAATTGTCCTTTGTTTCATGGGTTACTGTGTCCAAATCATTATTTCATGGCCATACTGCTCATATTGAACTTCTCCATCCCTCACTAAGCTAGTCTTCTTACAACAGGAACTGTCCATCATTGGTAATGAGTTGCAGGCTTTTTCAGCTTAATAAAACCTGCCAAACTTTGTAGTCCCATGACTACGTCCATGCTATGATGAAACATAGGAGTAGGACTTTAGTGAAAGCCAAAACACCTTAGATGTTCTCTGTTGTGGGATAAGTGGAGCCAAAAGCATTCATATTTTTGCACCTAATTTCTTCATACTACTTTGTATACGTTTGCCATGAATTGTCACTTTTTCACTAGGGACATATGAATGTGGTTGAAAAAAATAACTGAATGCCTCGTTCAGTTTTTTTATAGAGACCTGAAAAATGTCTGGATTTCTGGAAGGCCTTCGATGTTCAGAATGCATCGACTGGGGAGAAAAGCGTAATACGATTGCATCCATTGTAGCTGGAGTTCTGGTATGTATATTTCTATGATTGAACCTCCATTTTTTGGTATGCTTTTCTTCATGTGACTAGAATTGTCAAAATTATGCCTTAGCTTCTGTTAAATCTCTATTTTGCAGTATCAGCAATTGCTATGTCACCTTTTGTATCACCTTCATTTTTTAATATATCCCCCGCCCCGTCACCTCCTTCTCAGCAATCCATGTGTTGTAACACATATAACATGAAAAAAAATCAGTTCTGGAAAACTGAGCAACATGTTTTTCATTGTATGTAGTGCCCCACATCTGTAGTCCTCCCCTCTGCAAAGAAGGTTATAGAGAGCTGCATTTTCTCCTCTCTTCTCCCCTCTTGACCAGCTTGGTCATTATACTTACACAGCTTTCCGGTTTTGTTGTTGTTCCCACTTGCGTTATTTCAACAAGAATTTTTTAAGTCCCTGCAGTAAATAGCATCCTGTGCTTATCCAGGATTTGGGGAAGATAAAGAAGTTATCATTCCCACCTCCAGGGAGCTTACACTCACTTCTCTTTCATTAACTTCATTCTTGCTTGTACTTACCCGGGGAAGCCATCAATTAGAAGAAAGTCCCCATATATACCAAGATACTCAAAGCTTCACTTTTTTGTGATAAATAAGAATTGGAAATGAAGTAGATACCCATCATTTGGGGAATAGCTAAACAAGTTGTGGTACATGAATGTAATGGTGGAATACTACTATGCTGTAAGAAATGACATGTGTGATAAGTATCGGAAAGCGTAGGAGGATTTACGTGAACTGATACAGAGTGAAATGAGTGGAGCCAAGTTAACAACATAAAGTGATTACAGCGATGTAAATGGAAAGAACAATCACACACCAAAAAAGTCTAAAGCAAATGTTACAAAAATTATAAAGATTAAATAGGACTTGAATGAAGAAATAAAAGAGGACACCTTCAATCCACCCCTTTGTGGAGGTCCACAGATGTTACAAGTAGCATAATTTTTGGATTTTTGTCAATGTATTGATTAGTTGTGCTAATTTCTTTTTTCTTTTTTCAGAAATATTCATTTGTCGTATGGGGTGGCATTCTGGGAGGGGCAGGTAGCAGGTACTGGGAAAGACTATGGTGATATAAGAAACTGAAGACATCAATAGAAACTTATTTAAAAAAAAAAAACAAATTTTAGAATCTTTATCAGAGTACCCTCTAATTCCCAAGAAGGGTTAACTTTCTTAAAGTTCATGATATGGTATGCTATACATTTAATATGGACTTATCTGTTGTATGTAATATAAGACTTCATGATTACTGTGCATGTAGCTTCTGAGCAAATGACCATAGAGAGGTGAAAGAAGCTAAGCCATCCAAGACATAGAACTGCATCATCGGGAGCTGGGTGACTTCAATCTCCTCAGCCTTAATGCCTTAGAGAGCCCATCATAGAGTTTTGGAAGGAACTTACAGGGCAAAGTCTAGGGCATAGGTCTCAACTTTTTGCTAGCATTTTGTTGGTGTGCCATGCCCTATAGGGTCTTTTTAAAAAGAGTAGCAGGGTTTGTCATATTGAAATGTCCAAGTTGGACAGAAGCTCACCCTCCTTTTATAGAAGAAAGCCAGGAATGGAAGAGGAGGAGAGACTTGCCTATGTCATATTCCCCACCACCCCCATGGTTGTGAGCAAGCTCCTGGAGGACAGGGGATGGGTGGGTTTCATTTGTTTTAGTATTCCAGCTGCTTTAGACATAGAAAGTGCTTAGGAAACACCCGTCTGATTGGATTGGTTTGGATTGGTCACACACCTTGTTAGCAGCAAAGCAGAAACAATAAGACCACTTCTCCCAAGTCCCAGCCCAGTGTTCTTTGAAGCCCACTGTATTGCCTCCCCTCAAAAAAACTAAGTTTAGACATTCTATAGTCTATTCACTGAATTTGTGCAATTAATAAAAAAATAACTAGCCTGTATTTCCCAAAGAAATGGCACAAGTAAAACTTACTGGCATTGTAAAAAAAAATACTGTACTCATAAATCAGAAAAGTTTTATATTTTGATCTCTGAAGTAGAAATATTGCCTACAGTGAGCTGAGAATACCAAAAATGAAGCTGTAATTATAGTAGCCAATGAAAAATTACTACTATATAGCAGCACTGACTACAGATATATCTGAAATCTGACAAATGAGAATGATGAATTTTAATCTGAAGTGCTCTTTATTTCTGAGCTGTTATCATCAAATTGTGATTTATCTTAGAGTACACTTCCTGAAACTAACCAAAAAAGTGCTAATTATAAAGTCTATGTATATTTTATGGCTGTAGTGTATAACTAAGAAGTCTATTAATAAATTTTGTTTTGTATACATCACTTTACATGTATATGTACACAATGGGTGTCTATTTGCATTCTTTAAAATGTCAATGAGGGTATTCCCTCTGCTGGTTTCAATCATAATTCCTCCATGCCTTAGTAGATGGTCTTCATGAATTACTAGAGGGAAAAAAATCACCACCAGGTTGCCAACCTCTCTGCACTTGACTAAGTCAGCAGATAGAGTCTGTTTCTGATACCATAAGCAATTATTTCCAGCTAGCTAGAACCGGCAAGATCTTGTCGTCTGAGGCCATAACCTGAGAGCTCTGATTTGCCTCTGTGTTAAGGTGAACCATCAGAGTTGCATGGTTAGTGGCTACATAGAAAAATGTGTATGTGTGTAGGAGAGAAACATATAGCTACAGATTCCTGAAAATTCTACTTGTAACAGTTTGGTTAAAATGTTTTTATGGGGAACTTTCTGCTGAAATAATAGAAGAAGCTTGTGGAATTTTGAGAATGTTTGTATTGGTCATCTCACCGCTCTTAAAACCAAGTGTCTACACCAAAGGTTTTTGTAAAGGATTTTCCCCCCTTCTCTGTTTGTTTATACTTGATAGTGTCCAGAATAAAATTCACCAAAAGTAAAATTTTAATTTATGCTGGAGCTGAATATGTTATCATAACTGAAACCATCTGTAAGATGAGATGGTCCTGAGGTCTAGTCCAGCTCTCCATGCCTTCTCAGATTTGAGGGCAGAGTCTGTCTCTGGTACTTCCTGGGTTTATGACCATGAGCAGCCTGTCATTTAACCTCCTGGAGTCTCAATTTTCTAAACTGTAAATAGTTTTAGGGATTGTGGCCTATGTCAGTGGAGGGAGTTCCCACACTGAAATCACAGGGTCTTGATGTCCTTAAATTAATAAACTCCTATTCCATTCACTGCTTCATTGTGATGTGGTAGTGACCCTAGGTTTTCAAAGGCTTTGCTAGTGGAGTATAAGCTGTAGTCCTCTGGCCCTGCTATACTGGAAAAGTTTCCAATATTGGCCTGGAGATGAACCAAGAACCAGCCCAGCTCTTACTTCAGAAGAGAGCCTCTTTTCCAAAAGATTGGCTCCCTGAGGACAGTTTTTACTTTGTCCATAGCAGCTCACAATGATAAACTACTTAAGGAGGGTTGCCATCTGCTTTGGTAGCAGAAGTACCAATACCAATGGAGTCATTGGTCTTTCAAAATGTATTTAATAACTATGATTTTATACTAAAGTACTGGTAATATTGATGTCATGTGTTGTATTACATTTTAGAATGTCATACATTTCGCTGGCATATTCACACCTGACTAGATAAGTGTTTCCTAATTTTGTTTTCAATGTTAGAACTATAATTAGAATTAACATGAATGATAGAATAGAAGCCCAAAATATTTTTTTGGAACAGCGTGTTGGAAAGAACCTTTAAAAATTATCTAGTCCTACTTACTCATTTTAGAGATGAGGAAACTGAAGCTCTAGAGAAGAGAAGTGACTTACCCATGGTTACATAGCAAGTAAGTGGTACACCTAGGACTGGTACCCAAATCTCTTAACCCCCAGTCCGCTTGTCTTCCATTCACCATAGCCAAACAGATGCTTCATACCAGAAGGAAATTCACTCTGTGTAGCCATCCGATTGCTAGATAGATGGTAGCAGCCTCCAGAAAAGACCTTTTCATTATTGTTTATAGAAAGGAGCAGCCAACCATAAGGCTATCAAGTAAGCTGAGATTCAACCCAAATCCCATTAGAGCCTTAGAATAAAGAGGAGAAAGGCCAGAAGTACTAGTCTGCAAGAAAACCACCGGAAAAAGAAAGGCACAGGAGATGTACAGAGGAAGATAGGAATATAGAAAATACATTTGTCCAAAGATGAAATGAGTAAATACTCTAACTGGGAAACCATCTTTTTTTGATTAGTTGTATCCATCCTCTAGAATGTTAGCTTTCTCTTCTCTCACCCTTCCCTCGTTTCACTTGATTCCATCCCTGTTGGCCTACTAATATGGTCTTTGTTTTCAAGTCCACCCTCTGATAACTCCCAAGGTTTGTCTAAATACATTGGCTTACTGGAGCTCTGGGGGTTGGTTTGAGACTTGGGTGTATGGCACTCAACAAACAGACATTCTTTTATGCACATGAGGACACAAGTAGAGCCCATGCCACTATACTCAGACTCTGATCCTTCTTACCCTGGTCGCTGTCTCTAGTATAAGTTTCCTCCCAGTTCCTAGAATTTTGGGAATTGTCAAGAAGAACAGAAAGGGGAGCCCTGTGCTACATTTTTGTCTCATTCCATTGGGCATAAAGGTATTGACCTGTGAAAAACTCTCTTCCAAAAATATCTTCTGCTTTGATCTTTCTTTAAGGACTGTAAGAATATAAAACATCCATCACAGAAGTGTGCTGTATGTAGATAGTGCTATGTGCTATGAACCCAAGCCCTGTATCTGCCCTACACCTACCCACCTTGGTCCCTTTAGCTGGGTTTTCCTTCTCTCCCCTCTTCCCCACTTCTGCCCTCCCATCCTTCACCACCCCTTTTCAGAGCCAGCTCCTTCATGAAGGCTTCCGAGATCCCTCAGGAAGGCATTAGCTTTTCTTCCTTGTACTTTGTGCAATATTTTGCTTTTGTTTTTCTTGTGTGTTTATTTTTGTGTTGTGTACTTTATTTTTGTGTCAAAGTTATTGTTGGACATTGTTGAACATATCTCCCAACCATGTGAGCTCCATAAAGTCAGGGACTCTCTGATGTATATCTGGATCTTCCCTAGGGGCCCAACATTACTGTGTACATAATATACACTCAGTAAGTATTTGTCAAATTTGAATACTTTTACATTTGAGCAGCTCAAAATTATTCCTGAATTGCTGCAACAATATATCACTAATAGGCTACTTTTTCAGGCCAGTGATATACTGAGTTGTTCCCTACCCTTTTCCAACTTTTACATGGTACTGTAATTGTAGCAGATTGTTGCTAGATTTCAGGTAGTCTTCAGGGCTTCATTGTTATGCTACTGAAAAACAAGAATTCAGATAGACTTGTTCATAATAATAACCGTGGCCATTTGTCTAACACTTCCCTTAAAACCCTGTAAGGGTGGTATATTATACTTTTTTTTTTAAGAGATATGAAAACTGAGGCTCAGAATGGTAAGAGACTTGGCCAACTGTCACATGAGGCCTGAATTTGAACACTGTATGTTACGATTTAAAATCCAGTACTCTTGCTACTAAGAAAGTCCATTTTAACAATCAAAATTTACTACGCTTAAGTGTTAAATCAATTGACCAACAAAGACCCTTCTCTGTAAGGAAGCACACTGAGCTGAAATATTTAAGAAATTTCTCAGTTCACTATAAATGGGTATATTATGTCAAATTGGACAATAGTCTTCTGGACTTGCTTGCATTGCTTTAGTTGATATTATATATTAAACTTGAAATTTTTTTTTAATGATTTTTGAGCCTGAGTCAAAAAAATCTTACTTGAGATAGAAGTATAGTAGCCACTCTTAGGCCCAAGCCTATTATTGATCAATAAGGAAGGTCCTTTTCCCATCTAGTCCAGTTTGCCCCTCTTTAGGTAGTCTGTTGGTCCCCACTCTTGTGGTTTACCTTGTTCATGATATTAACTCAGCCTTGGGTACTCCTACTCTCTCAGCCGCCTCTCCCCTCGGATTTTGGAGGATTGGAGAGTGGGGTACCAAACTCATCCCAAGGCTTTTCTTTATAGAGGGAGCCTAACTTTCCAGCTAACTTCCCTTTCCATCTGCAGCTCTACTTGGTTTGAACTCCACAGAACATGATGCCCCCAACACTGGCTAATCCTTGGTGTCCATTCCATCCTCCTCCATCCCTTACCAGTTTCTTTTTGTGTGTTGTCTTCTCCAATTAGATTATAAGCTGCTTGAGGGCAGGGATTGTCTTTTTCTCATTTGTATTTTCAGCACTTAGCACAGTGTCTGGCACATAGTAGATACTTAATAAATGTTTATTGAATTGAATCGGTGCCAGACTTAGTATGAACAACTGATTAGCTTTAGTCATGCTACAGCTCAGAGTTCCCGAGCTCAGGTGATCCACCAGCATTGGCCTTAGGCAGTAGCAAGGATTATAGGCATGTACTGCCACTCTTGGCTAAAATTTTTAAATATTGAAATGAAGTATTCCATTTTTAGTCTTATTACGTGGAAAATTCCTTCCTTGGTCACCCAAGATAACATGTTGGTTTTTAATAGTTTTTTACAGGGTGGTGGATCATCATAGATGCAGCTGTTATTTATCCCTCTATGGAAGACTTCAACCACTCCTACCATGCCTGTGGAGTAATAGCGACTCTTGCCTTCCTCATGTAAGCATCACCAAATGCTTCCTAAAGACCTCTGGATTGAATTTTAACAAAGAATGTCCAAATGCTTACCTTTCTCTTGGTTCCAAATTTTAAATAATATTTTTTTTCTCACACATACATGATTATAGATAAATCTAGTACCTTCAGCTCAGAGGACCAAAGAAGGTTAGACTCTATTTGGCTAGCAGGGCCTGAAATGAGCTTACTGCTTGACCAATGGTAATTATTCCATTAAAAAAATTAGTCATCCTTTAAAATTGAGCAAGATAGCCAAATATTATAACCTTTTAAAAAAGCCAACAGGTATCTCCAATACCTAGCACTTTGTTTCAGTTATTCTACAATGAAACCATTTTAGAATGCATTTTATCAAATGGCAAATTTTATCAATTCCACATTTAGTGAGTTTTGTTTTGGTATGAGGGACATTGTGGCATAGAGGATAGAGACAGGGCCTCCAGGAATCCAAGGCCCACCTACACATGTGCTGGCTGTGTAACCCTGGGCAAAATGCACTTAGGACCGCTTAGGATCCCTCAGACTTGCTAAGATTGTGAGCTTCAGAGCAGTGCCTGATCTGTATTGGTGCACAGGCATCTCCTCACCAAGAGCTTTGTACACTGATGAAATTACTGGTGTGTTCCAGAAAAAAATTCATGTTGTTTTTAAGGGTTTTAATCTCTCCTCTCAGAAATATTTTTTGTGTGATGATGATGGCAGTAGCAGCGCACATTTATAATTCTTTATTTGTTATCCCATTTGATCCTCAACAATCCTATGAAGCAGGTGCTGTTACAGATGAAGAAACTGAGGCTGAGAGAATCGCCCAGGGTCACATAGCTAATAACTGTCACTAAGAAATAGCAGCTCAGTAGGAAGATGAAGGAAAACGTACCTGTACCTTGGGCTGGTTGGTTTTTTAATTAAACCATTCTGCCATGCTTCTGATGACCTGTAACCTTTCTAGTGAATAAGCATGGCATATTTTACTAAGTCACCATCTTACCTCCCTCATTAACACTGTTCACATACTCCTTTCTCAGCCATCTTAATACCGCCTTGAGTTGAGCTGTGCCCATGATGAATTAGCTCTCCAAGGCAGAAGAATTTATAAGATCCTAGGACTTAGATTAGACCTTATAAACCATCTAGCCCAACTCTCCCTCACTGACATCAGCGGAAATGGGCACTAGATCACACTGTCAGAAATGCAGTGACAGCCTAATGTGGAGCTTATCTGTTCCAGCCTGGCTTGAGAGGCGAATCCAGAGTTGAGACCACTTGTTTCTTCAGCATTCATTAGCAGAGGCAGAGTATATAATGGGAGCCCTAGATCTGGGGGCCAAAGGCTCCAGAAGCTGGCTCTCCAGTGTTGCTGGCCACTTAACCATGACTGTGCCTCAGTTTTTCCTTAGCCTTGAAATTCAGATCTTTGGACTAAGCAATCTGCCCAGGTTTCTTTCCAGCCTTCACATACTGTTGTTTACTAAGCATCCACTGTTTGCAGAGCATTGTGATAGGGGCTAAGCTAGATGCAGAGTTTAAAGAAAACAAAGTCCCTACCCCCGTGGAACTTATAATCTCATAAAGAATAAGATACAAACACAGTTTGCTATAATATTGTTACATAAGTGCATTAGACACCTAGTACTATGTGAGATCAGACTGCCTTAATTTCTCCTAGGTCAGGCCTTCACAACATGTCTGTCATTTTGATGGAATTATTATGGTTTCACAGAACATCAGTTATTACTAAAATACCTTTCAAAAAGAAAGGACCACATTCATCATCTAGCTTCATTTATATCCTTTTATACAAAGAAACACAAGCATCCATGTACACACACACACACTCCCCTAATTAATACAAATAGTTGAGAGTGTACAATATTTTGTATCCCAAATGTAAAAATTGAATAAGGCAGTTTTGTAAACTTTGTTAGCTATGCAAACTGCATTATGTTTATTTTATTCACACAGGATCAATGCAGTGTCCAACGGACAAGTCCATGGTGATAGTTACAGCGAAGGATGCCTGGGTCAAACAGGTGAGCAGCTAGTGCCAGTCACCTGGCATTTATTTAGAGCCCTTTGAGTTCAAAACAAAACAAAACAAATCACTGTGCTAGGCACAAGGGGAGATAGAGGGATGTGTAATATAGAGTGCCTGCTCTCCTGAAGCCTGCAGCATAGTAGGCAAGTTATGGAGTGTGCCCAAACAGCCAATTCTGAACAGAGGGTGCCAGGTACACTGGGGTCAGTGCTGTGAGAGGTGCACAAACAGCAGGGGTCCTGACACTCAGAGGACCAGGAAGAAGAAGAGTCCACAGCTTCCTCGGCTATCACAGGCTAAAGATGCAGGTAGTGCTTATTTTTTAAAAAGTAATTAATGAGCTTAGATAAGTATTTCCAGACTGATTTAGAAGGTGGGGGTCAGAAGGCCAGAGTTCAGGGCCTGGCTCTGCCCACACCTCCCTGTTACCTGAGGCAAGTCACCCCTCCTTTCTGGCCCTGTTTGCTATGGTGAAATAAAGTAAATGGGGGGGGGTGGCATGAAGTTCTTATGCTGCCTTCCAAGAGATTGTGAAACAACTGCTCTGTTTGTCTTAACTCACATTCATAGAATTCTTTGTTATTTTTAATTAAATTGTAACAGACAAAAGTTAGTGTTACTGTCAGTCTGTTTAATGTTTTACATTAAACTTTAAACAAAGCACCATCCCAGGCCTCAAAGAGTTCATTCATATATAGGAGATCTTTTTTATAAAAACGATCAGCACTGATGCTTGATGATGGTGAGGATTTAAAAACCACATCAGTTACCTTTAAAAGAAAAGTTTTGCTGAATGTCAAAGGGTAATTACTTAGTGATTGTTGAAATTAGAAAAATGGTCAGCTTAAAACATGCTCTTAAATTTGTACACTTTGGGAAAATGTTCTCACTCTGGGGTATATTTTTCCCCATAGTTCTCACATTTCTGCTTCCTCTTATTTATTGCTACCATAATAGTATAATATCATGCTAAAATTGGTAATACAGGAATTTGAAATGTATTTGAGTCAATAGAAAGATGTTGGATTTTAGGGCACAGCTCTGGGTAGAGCCTGAACCTTTGTGGTAGTCAATCAGAACCCAGATTCCATGAATAATGGTATATTAATTCACCCCTAGAATTTTATATTTTGGGCAGAAAGCCAGGAATTAATATATAACCTATCACTTCCTGCTATGCTTTATCGAGCTGTGATACTCGTGGGCTCTACTTTTATTAAATACTTGAGCTAATTAAGTCAAGAAACTCATTTATCTCAGAATTCATTTTAGCTAGTCAAATGATTCAATTTATTTTACTTTGTAATAAAGTATAGCAAATATTCATAAATATTATATAAATGTGACTTAAAAGTTGATTGTCCTCATCCATTAGTATAATTATAATGCCAGCCCGCACTGCCCAATTTGAATTCATCTCACTATCCTAAATTGGTCTTTAGATTCACTCATCAGTGGATATAGCTTTATCATGGGGGAGGGGAAGGGGAAGGCTTCCTGCTAGACATTTTCCTTGCAAAATAAATTTAAATTGTATTTTGCCACAGTGAATTCTTAAGGGAAATTATCTATTGGCCAGCCTGAAAGAATGCATGAGCCAGTAGTTTTTGTGAAACATTGTTCACACTCGACATTTTATGAGCAAGGTTAGGTTGTGGATGGGGGGGTAAGTTTGGGAAAGTAAAGATACCTTCAGACCATGGAATGTCCAAGAAAGCAAGACGGCTGACAGAATTGTGGAATTGAAATCCTAATTCTAAGGTCTTACAGTTTCTGCCTCCATTTTAGATATGTAAAATATTTCCTTATAGCCTTTGACAGCTGATGGGTTTCTTTCCTCTCTTTTCCTCTTCTGGTACATGACATTTGTGATCAGATTACAAACAAAATATGTTAACCATTTTTTTTAAGGTGCTCGAATTTGGCTGTTCATTGGATTTATGTTGGCCTTTGGATCTCTAATTGCATCAATGTGGATTCTTTTTGGAGGCTATGTCGTTAAAGGTAAAAGAAAACAGATTTTGGTACAGTTGATTTAAAGGCAGTACCTGGACCAAGTGTTTTATGATATTTTGTTTTAATTCAAAAATTGCCTTTAAGCTCTTAGGGTGTCAGCATTCTTTCTGGTTGTTTTCTTTATGGATGAAGGTTTGAAAAGACAGTGAAGCCCTTTTATCTGTAGGATCATTTTCAGTTCCCCCTGCCCCGGCTCCTGCTTCCCTGCCTCCTCTAACTCGTCACACTCAGCCTTCCTGAAAAATACCCCCCTACACACACATACACCAGTTTGAGCTTCCTTTTGAATTGCTGACTGACTCTTTGTACAGCCTACAAGTTGAAATCCACCCTAGGTCTCCTGATGTGTCCCTTTGTACACCAAGGATGTCCCTTGGTTATTCCTAAAGGTTCTTCCTGAGGGGTCTCAGAAAAACAAAATAAAGTCTTGTCTCTCCCTCCCTCTTCACTCCTGCCCCAATTCCTCTGATTTTTGTTTGGTGTACACGCCACAGATCTGTTCAAAACCTCAGCCCGGTGTCTCTATAATTACCCCCCAAAATGCTGTTTGCCAAAGTCCTAAAAAGGCAAATACGTTATTTATTAATAGAGTTCTTCTATGGAAAAAGATGGGAGTGGGGGTGGGCATGAGGACCATTGCCCTAGAGTGGATAAGAACTGGGCCTGTGGTTCTACTGGATTCTCTACCCCTGCAGGTTAACACCTTCTGAGTGCCTAAAGCACTGAGGTCAAGGCTGACCAGGATCACACAGCCAGCTTGGGTCAGAGGTCGAATTTGAACCCCCATGCCTTTTGGCTGTGGTGCTCCACCTCCCTTTCCCAGGACAGTGTCCACTTTATGAGGCCAGAAACTGTTTCGTTTCTTTTCTTTGTATCCTTGGCTCCTTGTACTTGCCTGGCAGTGTGCCTGTTGGCCCTTTTTTTTTTTTTCTTAATTGAATTTGTTCTATTTCTTGCTTGGTGCTTAAAAGCCCAGGGTTTGTTTGAGTCCTTTTTACTTCATTTTCAAATGAAAATTCCTTTAAGTGCTGAGCTCTGGGTACCACATTTCATTTTCTATACCTGTCTTTATCTCCTCGGCTTAGAGAACTTGAGGATGTTCATGTAGACAGTTTTAAAGCCCAGAAACCTAGTGTTGTGTTTTCACAACTGTTGGCATCGAGGTGAGCTCTGATGAGAGCAGCAGGTTAGTGAGCCTAAAGGCTCTGCTTTATCTGGCCCTTTGACCGTTCCAGACTGAGCCTGGACTGGGAGCTGGACCAGTCCTCCCACTGGTCTGTTAATAAAATGGGTTCTAGTCAGATATGCTAAAAATTATTCTGCAAGACAGATGGGGCAGTTGAGCTTTCATGTAGTCGTTCTCTTTTCCTCTTTATAAATATGCCAGTTAGGAGATAATTACTGAAAGCATGTGGAGAGGAAACCTTAAAGGAATTTAAACTGAAAAAACCAGGACAGATCATTCCACATGATTGCAAGAAACTTGGCATTTCCGATATATCAGAAACTACAGATAGTTGAGAATTTAAACTCCTAGGAATTTATTGTAAATTATTTTCTTTTCAAATCAGAAAAACCAATAGTGTACCCTGGAATTGCTGTTTTTTTCCAGAATGCATTTATCTTTTTTGGGTAAGTCTGTGTCTAATTGTCTATTCCTTCTGTCTTTTTAAAATGTCTGTATTATGTCATTTATTATAATTGCTCCTTTAATTTACCCTCCTGAGAAAATGAGAGGCCTGTGAGAGGACGATGTTGTATGCATTCATTCCATTTAACAGACTTGGCGAGCCTGTCTTAGGCAGCATTGCTGGTAGTGAAAGCTCCTCCAGGACAGCTTCAGGCATTGCTATAGCCTCTTCAGCACCAAGCATAGTATTTTGCTTCTAGGGGGCTTCAGTAAATGTTTGTTGAACTGAGCATATGAATTCTTATTTTATTTACTGAAAGGTAACAATCAAGGTTACTTTTCAAGGTAGTCTAGACTATTTTGCTTGTGCACTGTATATCAAAGCATCTATATTGCTTACTCATCCTGTGAGACTCACTTTGTCCTGTCCAAATTAAAAAAGGTAGAGGAGACGAGGCCCTAACCTGATGCCATCAGAGCCTGCCAGAGGGGCACATGAGGCAGCTGTTATGGGAAGGGCAGGATGGAACAGGAAGGAGATCACCTCCCCCACACTCCCGTAGTTGGAGACCATTGAGCTACAGAAAGCCTGAGCTCCTTTGATTGAAAGACTGTCAATCACACATAAAGAAAAAATAGTTTCTGGGGATGTTTTGTGTTTTGGTATAATGGTAATTTCACTAGGCCCAGAATAGTAGGAAAAACTGGGGAGGGGAGAGCCCTGTTCTGGTATTTTTTTGATTGACACACCAGTTAGTAGGAGATAATAACATTTAGTCCTCATAAAACGCCGGGGCTTTTAATGAAAATATCAGTTTGACTCAGTTCAGTCCTAGAGCACTCAAAATTGCTCGTTGACCATGTGCTCTCATCATCAAAAATAATTTTAAAAAAAATTTTAGTTTTTTAAAAATTCAATTTAATCAATTTTTAATTTAAAAAATGATTACTAGGTTAAAAAAATAAAATAACTGCACCTGTTCAGCCTTTAGGTTCTAGAACCTTGAATAAGGGAAAACTTCTAAAGCCACTTTGACACCTATTTAAAATACTAATTGGTTGCTCTGGAACAGCTTGTCTACTGGGAGCTCACCCCTGTTTAATTCAAGCCTTCAGGCATCTGAGCATTTTTGACGCAATCTGCCTCTGCCCTTAAAAAAGCCTAGGTGCCCAGATTGAGGCAAATTGTGAAAATAGCCTTCTCGGGGACCTTTGCAGAGATTCCATCTCCAGGATTTCCTGACAAATGGAGAACCCCACCACTCTCCACCTAAAGATAGCTATGACTTTTATGTCTGTGGAAGCTCTTGATCTGAATGGAATTGATTGAAGTTCAACAATTATCATCATCATCATTACTGACATTTACATAGCAATTTACATGTATGATCTCACTTGTTCCTCACCACAGGCCTGTTGAGGTAAGTTCTGCAGGTATAGTTGTCCTCATTGTGCTCACAAGGAGATAACTAATCTATGTGAGGGGCAGGACTGGAAACCAGGTCTTCTGAACTCCAGTCCAACCCACCCCATGCCTATCTGCAAAAGCATAGAGACCAGAGCTCTATTCACTTAACTAATGCTAGCCCTCTTTGAAGTGCTGTCACTCCATGGCTGATAAAAACATGATCACCGCTGATAAAAACATGGTCACCCTTGAAAAAATCATTTCTAAAAAGCACTGTTTGTCAGAGGCCTGTTGGCACAGCCCATTTTGGAAACAGCCTCTTTGGAAATTATTTTCAGTGTCCTTCCCATAACTGAGGAGAGGGGCTGGCAGAGGGAGCTCTGGGAGGAAACTAATTGGCAAGTGTTTGTACTTATGGCTTCTCTTCTTTTGAAATTATGGAGTAGAGGTTTAATTTAACTCTTTAGTTTTGAAGAAAGAGTATTAAGTAGCTACCATCTGACATCAGCTTAAAGCTCCTGACTCCCTACCAAGTAACCAGGGGATGGTGGAAAGAACACTGAATTTCGATTCAGGGAACTTGAGACAGCTCTGCCATTTACTGCCCATGTGTTTACCTTGAACAAGTTATTTAACCTCAATAGGCCAATTTTCTTGTGTAAAATGAGGAGGTTAGACTGAATATTCTCTAGGTCCCTTCCCACTCTTAAAATCTTAGGCTCTCTGATGAATCCTAAGGCTTGATTTCTGTTCGGAAGGACTCTAGCCTTGGGGGAGGTAGAGGCAAGAGGCAGCTAGTTGAGGGTAGAGAACCAAGTGTTAACTAGGCTTTCTTCACTCCTTTCCAAACAGCGATCTACTCCTCTAATTTTAACTTTACCTGTCCAAAAGTTATAGCTTTAAGGACCCTTACAGTTCATCTAATCTAAGCTCATTTGTCAAGAGAAAAATGAAGCCTAATGAAAAGAAATGAAGTAACTTGCTCAAGGTCACATTTCCAGTTAGTGGCAAAGCCAGGACTAAAACCCATGTCTTCTCATTTCCAGTCCAAAACTATGATCCCCTAAGCATCTGAAGTAGATCAGATCACTTGCTTAAGTTAGCTGAATGAATGAGTTGGAAACCATTTGGTTGTTTTCTCATGAGCCACTGTTGTGCTTATAAACTCAGAGACTAAGCAGGTGTTGGGGGCGTGCCACTGGCTAATTAAAATGGGAGAATTTGACATTACTTGGCATTGCTATCTTAATACTATTTTATATCGCATATCACTCTGAAATGTAAAAGAGCAAGGTTCAAAAATAACTTGTGGTTTCCACTTCAAAAATCTGAGCTAGCTAAAACTACCAGAGTGACCATCTGATAAGAGTATGAAGAAACCAAGTATATTACCCTTGAGCCAAAAAAAAAACAAAACACGAATAAACAAAAACCCCACAAAGAAACTAGTAGTCACAAATTTCAGCTTACATGTTTTGCCCATAAAAGTATGGAGAGCATTCTTTACTGTGTTACTCTCAGGATCGCTATCTAAATGTGGCCTTGGTGTTTACAGCCCCACACAATAGGCCTACTAATCCAGAGAGCTGAAAGGTATCAGAATTGCCTTCCTTGCCCACCAGAAGTGCCAATACCACCCGCTCACTGGTAGAGATCTTATCCTAACTGCTCTCCTCAGAAAGCAAACTTGGCATTTTTTCATGGATGATTGTAAGGTGCACACACTGATGTACATAACCATACCTCTTGGGAACTCATTTCCTCTCTTGGGCTGTGAGCCTCTTGTGGACAAATACTATGTCTCAGACATCTTTGTTTCCCCCCCCCCCAGTATGTAGCATGAGGTTTTGTACATAATAAGTAAAATCATGTTAATGTTTGTGGAACTGAAGCAGTCTGAACAGAGTAAATAAAGTTAGGATCACACTTATTATATTAAGTGAAACAGACTTAAAAAGTAGTACTTTGGTTATTTTTGTTAAATATCTTTCTTAAAGAAATATGTGCCCACTGTGCTGAGACCTCCATTGGAGGTGATGTTACTGTTGAGCCTTAATTAAGAATTTGAATGAAAAGTAGAGAATGTCTGTATCTTGAATATACTGTTGCTTCTCCTGGACTCACGCACTCAAGTCATGTTTTTTCCTTGTGTTAACAGAGGCCTGGTCTTTAAGTTCGGCCGCACTGAAGACTTATGGCAGTGAAGAGGCCCGATTTCCCTCAGAAGCCCCGCTTGGCACTTATGTTGTGCTGTGTTTTTATAGCTCACTCCCAGTCTTTTGTAATACCATTTATAAACTTTGCTGAATATCCTCTCGGGTGAAAAGTTGGTTAAAAAAAAAAAGTGGTGAAAGTGGTGGTATAAGAAACTTAAAAAGTTACAGAACACTCCAAAATCATGAACTTAGGAGGTGTGTGTGCGTGTGTGTGTGTGTGTGTATATATACATATATATATGTGTATATATATATATATGTATATGTATATGTATATTTCTGTCAAGTAAGTACTAGATTCAGTTAGGAAGTGTTCATGGAAAATGTTTCACCAAAGTAACTTGGTCAGGTTCTGTTATGATGTAACTCATTTTAGAAAGTAAGTGAAAGAACAATCCAGAGAAATAATTATGCGTGCATATGTATTTGGCATCATGTCTAAGGTCAAATTGCAATTAAAAGTGCTTTAAAAGATTTAATATATTTATTTAAACGTGGTATCTTCTGTGTCAAATATTAAACTAAATATATAAACATTTCCTTGTTTTATAAAGCTATCTGGTGGTCAGAATTCTCTCACTTGTTCAGTTCCCCAAAGAAATTGAATCATTGAAGGTTAGAGCTGGACAAGACCTTATTGTGTAAGATATTAGAAAGGGAATGTCCCCCAGAACAGAGGCTGCAAGAGTGTAAAGGGAGCTGTTTTTCCAGCAGGAATCGTGGCGGGCGTAGAAGAAAAGAAGAAGCTACCGTCTGTTCCAGAATCCCTTCTGAAAAAGCCAAAGGCTTTTGCAATACTGAAGGCCAAAGGCCTAAAGAAGAAGATGGCTGTAAAAAAGCTTCGTAAAATACGGAGGAAAGTTATCTATGAAAAAGCTAAAGCCTACCGTAAGGAGTACAGACAGATGTACAGAAGTGAAATCCGGCTGGCTAGAATGGCATGCAAAGCTGGCAACTACTATGTACCTGCTGATCCCAAGTTAGCTTTTGTGATCAGAATCAGAGGTATCAATGGTGTTAGCCCAAAGGTCTGAAAAGTTTTGCAGCTTCTTCGTCTTCGCCAAATCTTCAATGGCACTTTTGTGAAGCTTAACAAGGCTTCCATGAACATGCTGAGGATTGTGGAACCATACATTGCATGAGGTTACCAAAACCTGAAGTCTGTGAATGATCTGATTTACAAACATGGTTATGGCAAGATCAAGAAAGAGAATTGCCCTGACAGATAATGCCCTTATTGCAAAATCTCTTGGTAAATACGGAATTATCTTCATGAAGGACTTGATCCATGAGATCTACACTGTTGGCAAGCACTCAAAGCTGCCAACAACTTCCTGTGGCCCTTCAAATTATCTTCTCCACGAGGCGGAATGAAGAAAAAGACTACACAGTGGAAGGTGGAGATACTGATAACAGGGAAGACCAGATCAACAGGCTTATTAGAAGAATGAACTAAAGGTCTCTACCATGATTGTTGTTCTAATGGTCTGTTAATAAAAATGCCTGTGACAAAAAAAAAAAGAGTGGAAAGGGACCCCCACAATACGCTAGTTATAGGAGCCTAGATTTAGAGCTGGAAGAGCTCTCACGGTCCATCATCTAATCTACCCCCTCCGCCATTTTTAGATGAGGGAATTGAGGCCCAGGGAGGACTTAACTGATTTGCCACATTTAGGGAGTAAGAATCAGAAGTGGGATTTGAATCCAGGCCCTCTGACAGCAGTTCTCTGCTCTTTGCCTGTGCCTTGCTGCCACCTATTCTCCCTTCCCCTGTGCCCATATGCCCCTCATCATTAGAGGAAATTGGTCCAAAGATGTGCCCAGACAGGGCTAGTGGTGTCCAAGCTGGGACTGGAACCCAACTTGGGCTTCTGGCACCAGTACCACACTGATTTTCAAACTGTTGTTGATTGATTCAAAGGGATTTTATGTGAAAATATCCACCTTTAGGATTATCTGTCTATTGTATTTTATCAAGCCAGGCTCTCTGCATCTCTCCCAGGCAGAAGATTAGCAGTGACCCATGGGCCTGATCCCAGTCCTGATGATGGGCACAAAAGCTTTACTCTGCTCTGTTTTTCCAGCCTGGCCTGGTTTGCTCCTCCGTAGGCACCTTGGCAGGCTGCTGGCTGCTCAGCATATCAGTGCTGGATTTAGCGACCTGCATCTCAGAACTTCCAGACTCCCTCGGGACGACTGCTACCCTGCCACACCTCCTCTCCTTCCCCCTCCCCCCTTAGATGACCAGAGAATGGAAAGGGGAGAGGACAGCCACAGGCCTCCACCAGCTTGGCTCCCCACACTCTTGCTTTGCCATTTCAATTTTTCAGCCGCTTTAAAAAGTGAAGCTAATACATCTATGCGACCAAGAAGTGGTAAAGGTCTCTATGCCTCCAAATGCATCCTAGCAGAACAAGGAAAAAAAAGATAGAAGGGACTGGGTCTTAAGAATCCTAACTCAGCTGAAACTGACTCTTGTTCAGCAATGGAATTGGATTGTACAATTTTATTTACTTGTATGAAGACAGAATCACTCCAATACCACATGTAATTACCAACTTTAACTCCAGGTAGATTTCACAGTCTGATCCTCCTGGGAACTACTTTTTAAAATTCAGAATGTTACAGCTGGAAGAGCCTCCAGAACATAGAACATCTTAGTTCTGAAAGGGAATTTCAAACATAGAATTTTAGAGCTGGAGGGGGCCTCAGAGATCACCTTGTACAGTTCCCTCATTTAACAGAAAAAGGACACCTAAAGACCCGGAGAGGAGCAGTGACTTGCCCATGGTCATACAGTAAATAGGTGGCAAGGTCAGGACTAGAACCCAGAATTCCTGCCTCCTGGTAGAGTGCTGTGGTTCTCAGGGCCATAAGAAAAGGACTACCAATGCAACTAGGTGGCTCAGTGGATACAGCACTGGCCCTGGAGTCAGGAGGACCTGAATTCAAATCCAGCCTCAGACACATAACACTAGCTGTATGACTCTGGGCAAGTCACTTACCCCCAATTGCTTCACAAGAAAGGAAAAAGACTACCTTATTAAGGTAACTTCGTTGTTTTGTTTTTGATCCTGACCTAATTCATCCTCCCACCCATTAATCTCTCTAGCCATCTTCTATCTTCCCACTACCCTCCCCAATTCTCCTCTTGGCCAAGGTAAACTATTGGAACATAAATCAATTTTAATAGCCTAAATTATACCTAATTGGGTAAAACTGGAAATGAAATAATTATTCAAGAGCTAAATATAAAGGAGGTTTTTACTAATCCTGTTTCTCATTGCTCTGATGAAAGACTATACAATCCTTTTTTGAGCATGTATAGAAAAGATCCTAGAGCACATCACCCTAGTAAATAGTTACATTTACCAAATATGTCAAAGGATATAATGTGGCATTTCATATTCTGTGGAAGAACACATTCTGTCATCTTGAATAAAGCTAACCAGATTTTTCATAAACTATTGTGGCTTAACCATACAAGAGTTTTTAGTTTTATTAGTATCAAAAAGTTGTCCAACCATGTTTCTTCATACATTTGTTAGAAGGAGGAAGAAATAATGGTAGTTTTCTTTGGCACCCAACTGGCCCTCCGTTTCTTGGGTCCATTGGCTTAAAATCCAGCAGCCAAATGGGGAAACTGTAAAGGAAAGAAAAAAAGTGAATGGGTATTTTCCTTCTCATGTATGTCCGTGATGCTCGCATTGGATCTATTTTGATATACAGTGACCTAAATGAAGTGCCTTGACCTTCTTTTCTGGCCAGATGTCCACTGTCTCAGCTTGGTATTAATAGATGATGACCTTCTCCCTCCACTGTGCCCCCAGAACTGCACCAGACAGGCTTCCAGCCAATCTGAAAGAGGGGGTGGGGTGTCAGACTGCAGAGGGGCAACATCAGCATTATATACATGGTAGCCCAGGCAGTCACAGCCAGCAGGGTCTTTAGGACATGCAATGTTGGGCCTGGAAGGGGTGTCTGGTAAATCCTATAGAACCCTTCTCAGAATCCTGTTTTAAATGTGTAGAACACATAAAATCACCAAGAAAGCCAACTACATAAAAATGCAGTTTATTAAAAAAAATCTTTTTAAAAACATGTTTATGAACCCCAGGTTAAGAGCCCCTGATCTAGACTGACCTCATTTTACAGATGAGGGAAGTGAGACCCATAGGGAAAGTGACTCGGCCAAGGGTCTGTATATGTAGCCAGTTTATGGCAGGGCCAGATCTCTTGTCTCCCCTCCTCACCACCACCACCCCAGAATGACACACTTTGCCCTGAATCACCCTGCTTTGCTCAGATGGTATCAAGGCAGTAACACTTTGCATTTCCTGGTAATGGCCTCGTTCTGTCATCCTAGCATTCACGCTTTTCCCGGAAACCATGTTGCGAGAGCTGGCAATTCACAGAAGAGCAACTAGGGCTTGGACACATTCTGTTTTCATACCAGAGTAGGAGCAGTTATTTATATTCCTTAGCAAGAACATTGTTTCCAAATAGACTGCAAATGCATATTCAGAAGCAGCAGAATGTTGTAATTCTTTCAGAGAATTTTAAGATGGGATGTTCTGGTCCTGTCCTGTCCTGTCCTGCCCGGTTCTCTCCCACCATGGAAAGTCGGTGGGGGGAAAGACTATGATGGAATGGGAAAAGATCATTGACTTTGGAGTCCAGGGACCGGGTTTTGGATTTCAGCCATGCTGTATAACTTTAAGGAGGTAAACCCTCTAGGCCTCACTTTTCCTCATCTATAAAAAAAGGAGAGTTGGAGTAGATGATCTCTAAGAACCCTTCCGGTTCTAACCATCTGTCTGTGCCACCTGCCTCTATTTGGTCAAGGCATTAAGCGTTTATCAAGCACCTACCATGTGCCAGGCACTGTGCTAAACCCTGGGGCTACAAAGACAGTCAAGGAGCTTATGGTGGAGAGACTACATGCAAACAACTATGTACATATGTACATAGAAGGTACAGACAGGAGATTAGGGAGACCAGGAAAGGCTTTTGCAAAAGATAGGCTTTTAGTTGAGACCTGAAGGAAAGAAGCTAAAGAGGTAGAGATGAGAAAGATTGAGGCACTGGGGGGGGGGGGGGGGGTCCCGTTTGGGAATCAGCAAAGAGGCTGGTGTTATAAGATAGCAGAGAGGCAGGAGGGGGGAGTAAAGCATAGAAAGGCTTGAAAGGTAGGAAGGACCAAGTTGTAAAGGGCCTTGAATACCAAAGGGAGGATTTTGTATTTGATCCTGGAAGCAAAGGGGAGCCAGTGGGGTTTATGGGTGTGCCTGGTCAGCTGTGCTTTAGGATGGAGTGGAGTAGGGAGAGACTTGCGGCAGAGAAACAAACCAGCAGGCTATTGCAATAGGAGAGAGGGAAAAGAAGGGAATAAACATTTATTAAGCACTTACTATGTACCCAGAACCATGCCAATTGCTTTATAGAGTTCAAATCTGGCCTCACCCTAACTATGTGACCCTGGGCAAGTCACTTAACCTCTGTCTCAGTTTTCTCAGCTGCTAAGTGGGGATAATAATAGCACCCGCTAGGGTTAACCATAAGGATCAAATAAGTTGATACTTGTGATAATAACAGCTCACAGAGGTATAAAATTGGGAGTTCTTATTAACGGTACAGTCACCTCTCAGGGATCCACTCTGCTGGGCAATCAGTGCAGGGCATGGTGAATTCCTACAGAGAGGTGACTTCTCATGCCTCTTGTCCTTTGGAATGTTTCATTGTCTTTGGGGGACTCTCAGCTATGCAGCAGGAGTTGCTGCCTGGTGGGAACCACTACCTAACACGGGCACATTTCAGGTTGCAGCTGGCTGGCTGGTTCTATTTCAGAAGGCAAGGAATAAAAAAAACCCAACTTCCAAACAAGGTTGCGTCATGTGTTATCATCTCTTCTCTGCTCACCATTCATGGGGCTGGCTACTGTCCATAATTCAGGTCCTCATCACCTCTTATTTACCTGGATGACAGGTACACCTTGTTGTGCTTCTCAGATATTGCATTTTTTTACAAATTGAATTTTTGGGGCAACCTTGTGTCGAGCAAGTCTCTTGGTGCCATTTTTCCAATAGCATGTGCTCACATAGTGTCTCTGTGTCACATTTTGAGAATTCTCACAATATTTCAAACTTTTTTCATTATTCTCATATCTGTTGTGGTGGTCTGTGATCCGTGATCTTTGATGTTAACTATTGTCATTGTTTTGGGCCATCACAAACTGCACTCATGGAAGACAGTGAACTTAATCAGTAAATGTTCTATGTGTTCTGACTGTTCAAAACTGCTCATTCCAGTCTGTCTCCCTCTCCTCAGGCTTTCCTAGTCTCTGAGACACAATAATATTGAAAGTAGGCCAATTAACAACCCTACAATGGCCTTTACGTGTTAAATGAAAGGGGTCAATTGATAAGACTTGGCACACTTCATCTTTGTCTTATTTCAAGAAGCTGCCACAGCCACCCCAACCTTCAGCATCCCCCCACCCTGATCAGTGAGCAGCCAAAACCCTCCACCAGCATAAAGATTATGACTTACTGAAGGCTCAGATGGTGGTTAGCATTTTTTAGCAATATAGTATTGTTTCAATTAAGGTATATACATTGGTTTTTTTAGACGTAATACCACAGCACGCTTAATAGACTGTAGTGTAACATAAACATAACTTTTATACGCACCAGGAAACCAAAATATTTGTGTGACTTGCTTTATTGTAATATTTGCTTTATTGTGGTGAACATGCAATTATCTCCGAGGTATGCTTGTATTCTAATAGTCTGATCAGTCTCCCAGCTTCCAGTGTCCCATCCTCACCCCTCAATCCATTTTCCACACAGCTGCCTATCCTATGCAACCCAACATTCATTAAGTTCCTACTGTATGCTGAGCATAGTGCTAAATACTGGGGACACAAAGGAAAAAAACAAACCAGGCCCTGCCCTCGGGACACTTTCATGGGGGGAGTTGGGAGAAAGCTAGAGTGGAACAGAGATACAAAATGTAAGCAAAAGTGCGAACAGCTAGATACATACAGGATAAATTGGAGATAAATCAACAGAAGGAAGGCACTAGTGTTAAGGGGGTTCAGAGGAAATGTTTGTTGATTGACTAATAGAGACACATAAGAGGTTTCACTTGCAAGTCAACAACTGTTCACCAACTAGGGCAACAGTGGAATCTTTATATATATTTAACCCTTTCTCCCTCTACCTTTTCATTTACTCTTGTAAGCTTCCTAAAAATGGATATACTTAGACAGTCCAAGGGCAGCCAGGTGATGCAGTGGATCACACATCAGGCCTGGAGTCAGGAAGACCTGAGTTCAAATTCAGTGTTAGTCACTAGCTGTGTGACCATGAGCAAGTCACTTCACCCTGTTTGCCTCAGTTTCCTCATCTGTCAAATGAGCTGGAGAAGGAAATGGCAAACCTCTCCAGTATCTTTGCCAAGAAAATCCCAAATGGGTTCGTGAAGAGTCAGACATGGCTGAAATGACTGAACAACAAATGGTAAAGGTAGTGGGGAAGCTTGGAAAACAGACTGTTATAAGACAATGTTAGAGCTTGATGGAAAGGACCTAGAACAGAATGTAAAAAAAAAATTGGAGAGTTAGATTGGAGGACATAGAATGTTAAAGCTAGAAGGGCCCTTCATAAATAGAATGCTACAACTGAAATAGACCTTAGAATGTTGGAGCTGGGGGGAAACTTAGGAAATAGTTAGGACCTTGGAACATAGAAGGGTGGCCCAGACACAACACAAATGGCCCATTGAAAGTGACTGGGGAAGCAGCTAGGTGGCGCAGTGGATGGAGCACCGGCCCTGGATTCAGGAGGACCTGAGTTCAAATCTAGCCTTTGACACTTACTGCTGTGTGACCCTGGGCAAGTCACCTAATCCTGATTGCCTCCTCCTACCCCACACCCCAAAAAAAGTGACCAGAGACCCAAAGATGGGAGATAAAGAGTCTTGCCTGTTTGCAACTTTTACGTTAGGTTCATTGAAGGACTTACCTCCCAGAAAACCTGGTCATCAAAGTATTTCCCTTCATGTGGAGCCTTCCATAGGTTGAGACTTAAAATCAAACCTGTTTAAGAATACACACCAAAGGTTAACCATTGCTTCTAGGTAGTTTCGTATCTGTCTTCTTTAGATCAGTCAGAATATTGAATTCCCCTAGGGGGCACCTTGGTGGGGAGCTCCATTTTTTTACCCTCAGGTGTCCCAGGAAAAAGCCCTGGCTTTCCTGGGTTTGGACTAATTGCTTCTAAAAGGAGCTGGCAAAGGCAGTTGTCTAAGAGGATTTGAATTACCCCAAAAGGACTTTGGAAGCCATGTATCTGACACCCTTCCAAGACAAGATACAAAAAGTTCTTTTTAGAGGATGGACCATTTACAAGTTGACCCATTTAAAAGACAAGACAAATTTAAATGAAGCCACTTTATCTGTAGCTTCTTTACTGAATCTGGGAGCTGATCAATGTAGAGATCCCCAAACCTTCCCCTAGGCCAGGTGTGGCCTCGAGGCCACCCCTGCTAGGCCCTCATCCTAGTCCTGCACAGTTGTTGTCTGGTAAATGCTCTATAGAGACCACCCCCACCTGCCCCACCAGAGGCTTTCCTCTGATCCTTTAGATTCCTCAGAGCACCATTGAAGTGTGAGGCCCTTTCCTTGTTGTCCTTCTGGTGGGGGGCCACCTCCTTTCCCAGTCATATAGATTATCTCTGATATCATTTATGCTACTTCTCTGAGGTAAGGTACCATGGGAGAAATACTATATCCTACTTTAATCTGTTGTACATTTTTCCATTGTTCGTCAGGCCATATAAGTGTAGGATTTAGAGCTCGAAGGGACCTTTAGAGGTCATAAGAGCATAGGTTTTAGGCTTCCTTCAAGGCTCAGCTCAAAGCCCACCATCTACAAGAAACCTTCCCCAATCCCTCTTCATCTTAGTACCTTGTCTCTGTCAATTATCTGTCTCCAAATTGTCGTATTATATCTTGTTCATCATAGCTGTTTGCATGTAGTTTCCCCCATTAGACTGTAAGTTCCTTGAGAGCAGGGACTGATTTTTGCCTTCATAGTCCCAGTACTTAGTATGTAGTAGGTGCTTAATAAATGCTTGGGGGTTGACTTGATCATAGCTCTTGCACTGGAAGGTTACCTTACGGGTCATTTAGTTCAGTTGTTCCCATTTAGTGGTTCACGAACCCCCAATGGATCCACGATAATGGTCTAAGGAGTTCACTCTAAAAAGTCTTTAATGGAAGAAGGAAGCAAGCGTTTTTGAAGCTCCTACCACATACCAGGCACTACACTGAGTGCTTTACAAATGTCTTCTCATTTGATTATCACAATAATCCAGGAGACAGGTGCTATTATTATTATCCCTATTTTACACGTGAGGATACTGAGGTGGACAAAGCTGAAATGATTTGCTCCAGATCACATAGCTAACAAAAATCTGAGGCTAAATTTGAACTCGGGTCTTCCCTACTCCTGGCCCAGTGCTCTATGTGCTGCACCCCCTCCTTGCTTCCATAGAAGCTGGATCACTCTGTCATACCAAACCATATTGAGTTCCATCACCCAGAGCAGCCTTTGGCCTTCCTGTTTTCAATTGCCTGAGTTACAGAGATTCCACTTAAACCTTATAAGAGGAGAGAAAAAGTTTCTAAAGAACTTGCTTCCTGCCCTGCCACTCCTACGGTCTCAGGTTGGTTAGCCCTATTTCATTTCCCAGGTTTCCAAAACCTGTTGATTTTCCCAGAAATTCAATGACCATTTTCACATGAACTGGCTCCACTGTGTAAACTGATTGGATTCACCATGGCTGTTGTGTCCTTAGCCACCATGGCTGTTGTGTCCTTAGCCTGCTGATCTACTCTAGGCCCGGATAAGGGGCTTAAACCTTAAATACATTAGTAAGTATCCCAAAAATAGCACAGCATATCATAGTTTCTATTCCATCATAAGTGAATTGGGCATACACAAAACATTTATTAAGCGCCTATTTTGTACAGAGCACTGTGCCAAGCTCTGAGGCAAATAAATTTCAGACAAGGCACAGTCCCTGCCTTCACAAGACTCCCAATCTAGGCAACTAAAGCCTAGTCCTTCAATACTGTCTCCATTACTGTCCCCAAAAAGTAGTCTCGATTATTTAGGGCTGGAAATCTTTCTGAAAAAATGTGTCTCAAGTAACTCCCCAGTTAAACAGAGACTATCAGATGGAGTTTTAGCCTTTCCGCAGGTATCTCAGGGACAATAAATATTCATCTTATGAATATTCATTATATGATGTCCTCAGAGGGGAAGATCTGAGTTCTCAGTCCCTGCTCTCAAGTTTTCTGACTATGACCTTAGGCTAATTGCCAGATTCTAGGATTTAGATCTGGAAGAGATCTCCGATGTCCCACCTTCTCAGATCATCCAGGGTTATTAACACTCTCTGTCTCTCTGTCTCTTCTCTGTGTGTCTGTCTCTCTGTCTCTCTCTGTCTCTGTCTCTAGCTGTGTGTGTGTGTATGTGTGTGTGTGTGTGTTTGTTTGTGTGTGTGTGTCTTCTCTCCGTGTCTGTCTCGCTCTGTCTCTTCTGTGTGTGTGTGTGTCTGTCTGTCTGTCTCTCTTTCTGCTTGTCTCTTTCTCTCCACTTTTTACAAGCTTGCCATATAAGCTCCTTGAGAGCAGACTATTTCATTATTATCTTTGAATCCCCACCCACCTCCCCCTACCCCTAGGCTTTTTTTGGATCAAGCCTATGAATTAATTGGTATAAAGAACTCCTCTCAATTGTAACCTATAATTTTAGAGGGTTGCCTGACACACAGTGGGTACTTAATAAATGTTTGCTGAATTGAATCGAATCTCAAAGATCACCTAAATCCAATCCCCTCACTACAAATGAAGAAATTGAAGCTTCAGAATGTCCAGTGACTTGCTTAAAGTCACACAGATCAACAAGTAAAGTGGACAAGCATTTATTAAGCATCTACTGTGTGCCAGGCCCTTTGCTAAGCACTGGTAGCAGGTAACAGAACCAAAACTAGAACTCAGGTCCTCTAACTCTAAATCCAATCACTCAACTTCTAATTGCTGGAGGCAGCCAGGTGCACAGTGGATAGCACAACAGGCCTGGAGTCAGGAAGAACTGAGTTTAAAACCAGCCTCAGACGCTTACTAGGTGTGTGACCCTAGGCAGGTCACCTACCTCTGCCCCAGTTTCCTCAACTACAAAATGGTGATAATAAATAAGCACCTACCTCCCAGGGTTGTTGTTGTAAAGGTCAAATGAAGTAATATTTGTAATACACTCAGCACAGTGTCTGGCACATAGTAGGTGCTTAATGAATTGTTTGTTTCTTTTCTTCTCTGGGTGCCATTTTCCTCCCCTTTAAAGTGGGGTAATGCCTGCATTATCAAATAAATAAGCAAAGTGCTTTATAAACCATGGATCTGTGATCTCGTCACTGTGGAGGTTCCCACAATCAGTGCAGATCACAGCCTATCCAGGCCTAACCCATCCTGGGTAACTCTAGTCCATGCCCTCCCATAAGTTCACCAGAAGAGGTCCCCCACCATACTGGAGGTCCTCCTCATTTTCTCCAGACACCACAAAGTGCTCTTGAAGGAGCGCTCTGGCTGTCCACCCTTCATCCTGGCCAGTTCATTTTCTCTTCCTATCATACAATTCCATGATGACACTTTTGACTCCCATTCTTTGGAGTTCCCCATTAGTTTTGTGCTACAGCCTGCTCAACCCGACCATGGACTCTTCCATCCCCCTTGGTGTATGATAGTCATTGTTAATTCTTCAAAGACTATTGTAGGGGCAGCTAGGTGGCACAGTAGGTAGAGCACCCGCCCTGGATTCAGGAGGACCTGAGTTCAAATCTGGCCTCAGACACATAACACTCATTAGCTGTGTGACTCTGGGCAAGTCACTTAATCCCAATTGCCTCATCAAAAAAAAAAAAAGACTATTGTATTCCATGTTCCATAAATCAACACCAGTGGAATGTTGGTGTTAAAAATGGCCCCTTTCTTTCCTGGCAAGCTTGGGGACATTAAAGGGGTTTCTCAAAGGCAATCCATACTACTCTCCTTATAGTGAATGTCTGCTGTCTGTGTTGCTACTGCTACTGCTATTATTATTATTATTATTATTATTACCCTCCACCAAAGTTGCATGCTTATGTCAGCTGTTATTATTATTATTATTATTGTTATTGTTATTATCTCTCCACTGAAGTCCTATGCTGATGCTAACTGTTGTTACTGTTGTTATTATAATTGCTATTCTTTTTGCTGTTAACATTGCCCCTCCATTGAAGTTCTATGTTTATGTCTCATCGTGTTGTAAAGGTAGCCTTTTTCTCAAAGGATTCTCAAAGGCTTTACCAACTAAGTGTGAGGTGCTGGAGATCCCCCAGCCTAGGGAGATTCTCAGCATGGGTCTGGAGAGGTACCACGTGCTTACTTTCTTAAAGCCAGCCTAACTAAGCTCCGAGAAGTTCATCCCCAGAGTACTGGACTTTGGATAACATTTTTTGGCCACAGTAACTCATGAAGCTATCTCCTGAGATATAAAATAGATGGGGTTCTCTAAGGTGGTGGAAAGGCCCACCCTGATGGAATCATAGACCACTGAAAGGATTTTTTGTTTTTATTCTTAATATTTTTCTTCCCCCAAGCCTTCCTCTGATATGCCTAGAACTTCCCGGCAATGGCCTTCTGCTAGACAGCCAGTACCTGTTTCCCCTACACTGTCCAAAGCTGGAAGATGCCTACAAGATGGCAGATGTGGGACTCAGGAATCTTAAATGGGATAAGAGAGGTGGCGTAAGATGTGTATGACCCAGGGGCTTTTCAAAAGGCAGCAGCAAAGCTCTTCATTTCTTTCCACCTGTCAGATTCTTATCTTTTCCTCTTCCCAGGGTTTGACCTGGCAGCATGCACTTAGTAGGTGGTCAATCTTTTGGTCTGATCAACCCCATGACTCTGGGAGAAGACAAAGGAGAAGGAAGCTAACAAGCCTGTGAGGCTAGTAAGCAGCGGGCCCCTCTTGGACAGACACGCTCAGGGGCTCAGATTCCCAGAAGGTGTCTCTAAACCCCCTAAGATGACTCAGAGAAAGATATTTGCCACATTCTGTAGGGCATCTGGCTCATGTGCCCAATGGCAGACTTACCTAACAGATGGTTAGGAGCTGAGAGCAGTTCCTAGGAGAATTGGTGAGACAAGTTTTCCTTCTCCTGCGATTCTGGTGTCAAATGGATGCTTGGAGTACTTTGCTCCTGAGGTGTCCCAAAAGTCTTCGTTCAGCTGTAAGCTTAAGAATCTTTAATGCTTACAGCTACACTAAGACTTTTGGGACACCCTCTCTGTACATATATATATGTATATATGTATATATATAAAATGTGTATATATAATAGGTATACATGTATATAATATATACGTATAACCTAATATATATGTGTATAACATAATAATATATAATATATAATATAATGATATAATAGATAATAAAATATATGTTGTGTTAAAAAGTAACGATAATAACATACTGTAAACACACACACATACACACACACACACACACACACACACACACAAGGCAAAATCAAGTTGATCTTTTTGAAAACAGAAGAAAAAAGCCAGTGAGTGTCATACTGACCTGTCAGCATACCTCCTACCAATCCCATAGCCATGAACAGGCAGAGAGAGCCAGCTGAATAGAGGATCTGAAAGCCAGCCCTGAAGGGGACAGAGCAGATGCATTCACACTGAGGTTTCAGGCAGCCTCATGTTTCCCTTAGTGACAAGAGAAATGCTGTTTGGTTGTTTTTGCTGCTGATGTATAGATGACCCATTAGGATTAGGGGCCGGGTGTAGGGTAAGCAGGGAGCTGGCTTGACATTTTCCATCTCGGAAGCCAAGAATAATCAGGACTTGAGGAGGGGGAAGGAGTGGAAATTCCTCTTAGGGCAACCATCAGACAGAGTTTCTGATTTTGTTCTCCTGCTGACAAGCTTCTGTTTCTAGGTGTGAAGTGTGTGTGTCTGTGTGTGTGTGTGTGTATGTCTCTGTGTGTGTGTGTCTGTGTGTGGAAGACATAGTTCATGACTAGTAAAAATCTGAGCCAAGATTCAAAGCCAGGGCTCCTAAGTCCAAGGCATTGGCTTGGAGCCCTGGCTTTGAATCTTGCCTCAGATTCTTACTAGTTCTATAACCTCAGAGCTTCACTTTCTTCCTCTTTAAAATGGGGATAATATTGGCGCAGTGAATAGAGCTCCAGCCTTGGAGTCAGGAGGACCTGAGCTCAAATTTGGCCTTCCTGGCACTTAATAGCTGTGTGACCCTGGGCAAGTCACTTAACCCTGATTGCCTAAGCAAAAAAACTAATAAATAAATAAAATGAGGACAATAACTCTTGCCTCACCTACTTAGAGGTTGTTATGAAGATAATCACTTCACAATTCTTAAAGTGCTTTAGAAATGCAAGTTGTTATTATCATTGGTGTTGGAATGAACCTTAATGGTTATAGTCACTAGCTCAACCCCTTCATTTTACAGAGGAGAAGGCAAATGATTTGCCCAAGGTCACACAACTATTAAGTGTGTGGAGCAGGATTTGAACGAGATCTTTCTGATTCTAGGTATCGTTCTCTTCTCCCTACACCAGGCTGCCTCAGGTGGATAAATTCCCTTTCAATTCTCAAGTCTAAGATTCTATGATCCTGTGGATTTTCAAAGCCATAGGAGAGTTCTCATTCTCTGGGTCTAGATGTGCTTCATGTATGAGCGGAGCTGAAGATCCAAGGACCTACGTGGAGAGCTGGGTCCAGTCAGCTCGCTCAGTCATCAGCAGAATGTAGGCTAGTCCTCCCAGCAGCCCCGGCAAGCCGAAGGTAGAATAAACTTCACAGGTGTCATGGAGCCCAATGATCTGGTTAAAATATACCTAGGAAGAGAAAAATGATGAGGGCTAGATCCCTGGCAAAGGTGGACAGTCCTGCCCTACCTGGTTCACATCTTAGATTCACAGAGTCACTCAGACTCACAGTAAGACACCCTACCTAAATTTAGCCTTCTCTCCCCAAGTCTGTTCTGGACACTCAGTCAGAGTCTGAGGGCACAGGTGTGATCCTATCACTCATTCCTCTGAACAAACACCTTCAATGGCTCCCCAGTGCCTATTTCATTAAAGAAGCAGACTCCTGATGCAAAGCAAAGTGAACAGAACTAGGAAAATGATACAGGGGGCAAGTAGGTGGCACAGTGGATAGAGCACTAGCCCTGGAGTCAGGAGGACCTGAGTTCAAATCCAGCCTCAGAAACTTGACAATTACAAGCTGCCTGACCCTGGGCAAGTCACTTAACCCCATTGCCTAGCCCCGCCCCCCCAAAAAAGGAAAATGATACAAGCAATGGCTGCAGCAGTGAAAATGGAGAGAACAAGGAGGAAGGTTATTTCAATGGTTTAAAATTATGATGATGTATAATCAATATCCTATCTCTTGCCTTCTCAAAGGGGTAAGGAGAGAATTTGAAACTCAATTTTTAAAAATGAACACTAAAAAATTTTACATGTAATTGGGGAATATTTAACAAAAAAAATACAAATATATTTTTTAAAAGTATGATGACCAAGTTTGGTCCCAGAGAAGAACTATGGGAAGGCAACTCCCCCACGCTATTTGCAGAGGGAAGGGACCAGGGGTACTTCTCATGTCAGACTTTTTCCATGTATTAGTAAGTTTCCCTGAATGGTTATTTCTGCCTTTTTTATTCTTTGTCATAAAGGATAGCTCTCAAGGAAGGGAAAGGGAATGGAGTACACCGAGAAATGTAAATATCAATGAAAATTTATTTAATTTTTTAAAAACTTGAAAGCACCAAAAAAGGGAAAATACAAGATTCTTAACTTTGGCATTCATAGCCTTTTCATAGTCTATACCAATATACTTACCTGTGTGATCTTCAATAAGGTAATTAACCTCCCTGTGTCTCATTTTCCCCATATGTCAAAAGAGATTATTGGATTCTAGGGTCTCTGTTAACTCTAAGATTCTGTAAACATCAACAAAATACTTCTTCCATGAGCATCCAACCTTATGCCTATAACCTGTTGCACCATTACCAGCAAGTACTTCGCTCCTGCGATGGAAATCATGCCTGCAAGAAGCCCCAGCACCATGGCAATCCAAGGTGAGTGGATGAGGTTGGTGGCGACCCCCACAGCGACCCCTGCAGCCAACGTTGCTCTGTGGACATGGGTCTGTAGAAAAATAGTTCACACTTGGGGAAACTGAGGCATCGAGAAACCCAGTATCAAACAGCAAAGGCAAGATTGCAAGCTGGTACCCATTGTATTTATTCATGCTGTCCAAGCCAGCTGGGACTGAGACAGAAGGTTGAGATCTAGGGGCAATGTGCAGCGACATCCTGATAGAGTAAAATCCCCAGGGGAAGGGGTTCCCATAAGGCTTTACATGCCCTCTTACCATACTGATTTTCCCATGTGAGTGAGTTGCAGCCGAAAATGACATGGCGACCACTGCGCTGACAGTGAGTGCATAATAAGTGTTATATACAGCAGTTTCCTTCTCGCTGGGGTATTCTAGCAGGGCAGAATTGAAGGTTGGCCAGAAGACCCACAGGAAAAGGGTACCTTAGAGATATAGATGGTAACAGAGAGTGTCAATAGCTAAATCATTTTCCCAGGCTACTAGGTAGATTCAAATATGGAATGTTAGAGATGCAAGAGGCCATAGAACACAGGTTATTGGAAAACCTTAAGAAACAGATGGGATGATGGGAGATGGATACCTAAAAGGAAAAGACCATGTTTTTGAAAGCAACCCAGTCAGTGAATTTTCCCATACATTTCAGTAGCCCAGTCACTGGCGCCTCCGCCCAAGGCATCTGGCCCACCCCACCCCACCTAGATTATCTAATTAGCTTACTTGACAGTCCTTTCACTGTAGCTCTTGACCCACCCTAGACTACTTTATTCTTTTCACTGTGGCACCTGGCCCACCCCAGACCCTTACCACTCCTTAATCCCATCCAGATCCTTTCACTGTCCTTTTTGTATATAAGCATCAGTCCCCATTAAGTTACAGATTCACTAGGACCCCTGCCAGCTCCTATTGGCTTTACAATAAATCTTGCCACTTTGACTGGAAGAAGGTTTGAGTGCATGAGTTCTTTCTAGGTGGATACCACTTTGTACCCTGACATTTTGGGGTTCCCAGCAACCCCAAACCGCATCAGAACCTTGGAAAATAGAACATTATGCAAACTCCCAAGCTCCCTTCCACCCTGGCAGTTCTTCCCTTTAGGAAAGCTAGAACTTAAACGCCACTTGGACATATACAGCAGCAACTACCAAGGTGTCAATGGGAAAATTGCCCCCTTTACTCTCAAATTACCAGCCCCCTTCCAACCCCCAAATTACCTCGTGTAGGAAGTAAGCACTTCTTGAGGGTAGACTACTGTCCAGCTCAGTTACCAGTGAGTGAGAGCCCCTCCCCTCTCCATCTTTGCTTTGGGTGGGACAGAGCCAGTGGAACAATAGTACATATACATAATTTATAAAATGAATACATAATTTATACATAAACATACAGACATACACACATATTTATATATATTTATATATTTTTTCTATATATATTTGTGTGTATGTGTGTGTGTATATATATAGACATGTATATAGATATACACACACACACATATTATATATATATGTATATATATATATATATATATATGTTGGAAGTATGTGCTTAGAACATTTTTACTGCTGGGGTATGTGATCAAAAAAATTTGGAGACCACTGTGTTAGAACATAAAATGTCAGGACTGGGAGGGCCCTTAGAACATGGAATGTCAGAGCTGGGAGGGCCCTTAGAACATGAAATGTCAGAGCTGGGAGGGGCCTTAGAGTTCATGAAATGCAACTTCCTCATCTAACAGATGAGAAAAAGCACAGAGAGATGAGGTGACTCCTCCAAGGCCATTTGAACAGATTCAGAGTCAGTGTCCTTGGCTAAACCTCATGCCTTCTGGCTCCTAGGTTGTAGCTCTTTTCACTATATTCTCTTTTGCATTTGAATAGTACTTTAAATTTTTTGTTTCTTCCTCCAATGTGGACTTGTCCTAGAAGTAGGAGAGAATGGCTTGGGAAATGGCCAGTGAGTGTTGCTTCCCACCTACGAATAAGCTTTGCATTATTCCTCCCTCTGTCCTGTCCCCATCATACATATCCCTCTCTAGCATCTAAACACAATTAAACAGGAGATGTTTGCTCCCTCCTCATCCCCCAGGGAGGCACTAAACTACCCAAGACCTCTCTAAAGCAGTTGTTCTTTCCATAATAAAGGAGATTCTCAGGTGTGGAAAGAAACACCCCTACTGATCATACCACCGGTCTATAGGATGGAGAATTTAGAAGGGACCATAGAGATCGAGTCCAACTCTCTCATTTTCCAGATGAACAAAGTAAAGCCCAGAAAAGGAAAATGACTTGATCAAGTTGTCAACAAGCACCTACTATGTGCTGAGCAATGTACTAAACATTGGGGATAGAGAGAAAGGCAAATGATAGTGCCTGCCCTCAAGAAGCTCGCAGTCAAAGGGAGGGGACTACAAGAGGCAAACAACCATGCACATATAATATACATACAGATAAACTGAGGGTAGTCAGCAGAGGAAAGGCACTAGCATTAAGGGAAATGGGAAGAGCTTCCTGTAGAAGATGGGATTTAAGCTGGAATTTCAAGGAAGCCAGGAGGTAGAGGTAAAGAACAAGTGCATTCCAGGCATTGAGGACAGACAGTAGAAAATGCTCAAAGTTTGGACCCAGTCTTGTTTGAGGAGTTACAAGGAGGCCAAGGTAAAAAAGACACTAAAAACTGGTGTGCTTCTTAATGATATCACACCTCTCACCTGTCCTGATGAGGATTTTCAAATCATTTTAATCGGTAACTTGCCCCAGTCAGTATTATGGAAAGAGCCTGGCACCCAGACTTGGAAGACCTGCCCTCTGATTCAATCTCTGCCCATGGTTTAGTCAGGTGGTATATGGGATAAGTCAGTTTCCTCTTCTGTAAATTGGGAACACTAATTCCTGCCCTTGCCTACTTCACAGGGCTCTAGTGAGGATCAAATGAGATAATATACATGGAAGAACAGTTTAAACTGTAAAACAACATAGAGAGGGCCGTTGTTATTTTTTTTTTCATTTTCCACATCTTTGTTTTGATGGAGTTCAGATAAAAACAGTCCTGGGACAAGTTGCTATCCTGCTGTTATATGTAATGCCCTGCACACTATCACGCAGATGGACAACACACCTGCTTTTTATAATTGAATTATATTCAGAATTTAAGCTCATAATCCATGGACTCTCTGAAAGGATATTTAAGATAATTCCAGTAGACAGGACAATAGAGATTTTACATATATATATGTATGTATGTGTGTGTGTATATATATATTTATATATATACATACCTCATCCTCTTCCCAGATTTTCCTATATTTTGAAAGCTAAATGGTACAATGGGGAGAGTGCTAGCATTAGAACCAGGAAGACCTGAGTTTAAATCCAGACTCTGACTAGATGTTTGACCATGGCCAAGTTATCCAACCTCTCTCAATTTTAATTTCCCCATCCTGAAAACAGGATTATTATAATGATGATGATAATAATAATAACCCCATCTGTCTCACGGGTTGTTTTGAGAACCTTAAAGTACTATAGAAATGCTCAATGTTATTATTAGCTATTATTACTCCACATCATTTGGAGATTAGAAGTCTTTGGTGAGGGGGAAATCAATTAAAGCCCTATTCTTAATGTTATGAATCATTCATTGTTCTGTCTGGGCAATCGTGAGCAACAATTCTATCTGACTGCAGTACAGTCTGGTGAATTCTATCATTATTATTACTGTTATAATTATTTCCATCTTTCAAACCCCCACTTTCTGCTTGGACTATGGCTTTTTACTATCATACATCCCTCCCTTCCCTCAGAAAAATATTGTTGGCTGGAGCTCTCCACCCTATTAAGTGCTTAACGCAGATAAGGCCTAAGCTAGGATGAGGGGACAGTTTGTTACCAGGCGTCAGCACATCTGGTGTCCTGGGTTCACATCAAAACCAATCCAGAGGTAGCCTACCTCCCTGCCTGCCTACTTGGGAATGTGCAAGATTAAATGAGAAGGTCCCAAAAACAAACTGGTCAGGCAGGTTATCTGATGGTGTTGGCAGCCACTAAGAGCAAATTGATTTGTTTTTGTTTTTTTTAATGCAATCAATTTATAACCTTTATTCAAGTTCTTGTACAGTGGGGGTGGGAATGGGGGGTGTCATGAAGAGGCCAGGGATGAGTCCATTTACTTTGGCCCAGACTCATCAGGGCTCACAAATTGAAGAATGTGCATGGATCCCACCTATCAGTTCTCAGAAGACTTTGCCCCTGGTGCACACACACACACACACACACACCGTGCTCCCCTGCCCCTTTCATGCTCCCCACCCTACTGGTCTCAGGGAACACAAAAGGAAGCCCCTCTGCTTGGAGCTACTGTAGTCACACTTCTTTGCCAAAATCAGGAAAGGCCCTGCCCAGGCATACCTCTCTTGCCCAATCTATCATAGGCTGATGACAGAATCACAGAGTTGGAAGGGACCTCAGAGGGCATCTAGTCCAACCCATGTCCTAAATAAGGATCACCATGACAACATACCCCATAAGTGTTTGCCCAGCCTCCCCCTTAAGACCTGCAGTGATGAGGAGCTCATTCTCAAGGGAGATTGTGGACAGTTGGACTCAGTGGAAAGGTTTTCTTTATGTTGGACGAAGATTTCCCCCTCTGCAACTTCTACCCATTATCCTAAGAAAGTAAACTTCTTGAGGGTAAGGGACTAATTCATTTTTTTGTCTTTGTATTCCCAAAGCCTAGTACAGCATCTAGCATACAGCAGATGCTTAATGAATGCTTGTTGACTTATTGATGGATTGCTTGTAGTTAGACCCTCTGGGACCTGGGACCTCTTTCTTAGCTAAAACTCTTAAAGGAATTATGGTCTGTCCTGTATCAGCACCAGTCCTGGGCATGTGGTGTGGTGGTGGTTGAATTGTGTCTGACTCTTCATGGCCCCATTTGGAGTTTTCTTAGCAAAGATGCTAGAGTGGTTTGCCATTTTCGTCTCCAGCTCATTTGACAGATGAGGAAACTGAGGCAAACAGGGTTAAGTGACTTGCCCAGGGTCACACAGCTAGTAAGTGTCTGAGGCTGGATTTGAACTCAGGTCTTCCTGATTCCGGTCCTGGCTCTCTATACACTGCACCACCTAGCTACCCTGGGCACCTAATAGAAACCTAATAAACACTTATCGATCTGGAGTTAGAAGGTACTTTAGATACCATCTAGTTCTGCCCCTCATGTTGCATATGAGGAAAATGAGCACTGGAGCAGTTAAGTGACTTGCCCAAGGTCCCACAGGTAGTAAAATAGCAGGGGTGAGATTCAAACTCAAGTCTTCAGACTCAAAAATCCAACGATCTTTCCACTGTACCACACTGCTTCTCAGTAACGATTGATTGATTGGACCCTTATCACATGCTGCTTTGAATGGTCAGTTATATCAATCAATCACCAAATATTTATTAAGCATTCACTATATGCCAGATGCTGTGCTAGGCAATGGGTTGGCAAAGACAAAAATGAGAATGTATGTGTGTCTTAGCTCCCTAAAAGGAATGTAAATTCCCAGAGTGCTCCCCTACTGAGTCTTCTTTCGTATGCCCCAAAGGGAAACGAAAACAGAGCTATCCCTGGGACCAGGGAGTTCAGGTTCCTCACCATCCCCCAACCTAGACTGTAGTGTATGGTGTAACGGAACCCTCTTTAACAGAACCACACACACTGTGCAGGCCGCACACTGAAGGAAAAAAAAATGGCCTGCACACATTGATCTGACAAGACGGAGCTGTTAGCCAGAGGAGGGAGCAGGGAAAATACATGCTGTGGAACCAGGAGGTCACAGGTTCTAATCTTGATTCTGCTAAAACTCATTTGGGTAGGTAACTTCACTTCTCTGATACAGTTAACTCATCTGTAAAATGAGGGTTGGACAATTCTATGTTATAAGGTAACTTCTCTATTCTAAGGGCCCTCCCCACCCTTACTTTGTGTGTTCTAAGGGCCCTCCCAGCTCTGACAGTCTGTGTTCTAAGAGCCCTCCCAGCTCTGACATTCTATGTTCTGAGGGCCCTCCCAGCTCTGACAGTCTGTATTCTAAGGGCCCTCCCAGCTCTGACAGTCTGTGTTCTGAGGGCCCTCCCAGCTCTGACAGTCTGTGTTCTAAGAGCCCTCCCAGCTCTGACTTTCTGTGTTCTAAAATTACCTTCTGGCTTTAACATTATTTTCTAAGGCCTCTTCCAAAACTGAAGTCCTACATGCTCTTGTTCTAATATTGCTCCCAGCACTGGGACACTCAAGGTCCTCACACAGGAATAGCTGTAAAGCATTAATGCTTACTAAGGACTCAATTGTTCTTCCTCCCAGATGTATTTGCATTTTAGGGCTTATGCCTACATCAGTCAATGCTCAACTGAAAAGAATGAGTTGGTTACGTTAATGGTTGAATTTCAGGCACCAAGAGTGAGCTATTTATAGGCAGGATTTCCCCCAGTACTTCAGATCCCAGAATATAGGCCACCCACTGTCTTCCTCTTACCCAGTGTGGTAAACAGACTGGAAGTTGTGGTTCCCCGTTCCTTCTCCTTGGCTGCATTCAGCCGTCGGCCCGGGAGGCACCAGGCTGTGGTCACCCCAAAGCAGGCCCCAAACAGGTGGATTTGCATCATGCTCTGATGTTCGTTCCCCTGTAACTCAACCCAGGACACGCTTTGAGACCAGGCTGGTAATTTTGTGGTCAGTTCTTGCCCTCTCCTGGATTTCTTCCCCTCCCCATTCCTATGGCTTAGCTGGTCGAATGCAAGGAATCATTTTCTTGACTGTTTGGATGCTAAGGTTCTCCCATTCAACAAATACTTGTTGAGGTGAAATTTTACGGATAAAAAGTGGACAAAGGAATGTGGTTAAGTGGAAAGAATGACTAGCCCGGACATCCGAAGACCAGCATTCAAGCCCCAGCTCAACCATTCCCTGTGGAAATTGGCCAAATCATTTCTACCCTCCCCCCCAAGTCTCAGTTTCTTCACCTGTCCAATGGAGCTAATAATCGTACTACTACCTACCTGACAAAATTGTTGTGAAGAAAACAGTTTAGAAACCATCCAATTCTAGAACATGAGCCAGTATAGGTGTGAGGCAAGGATTAGAACCCTAGCCTTTGAGCCTGGGAGACCTCAGTTTAAATCCTACCTCTGATACTGATCACCCATGTAACCATAGGTATATCACAAAACACACTGAGACTCAGTTTCTTCATCTGTCAAATGAGGTAATAATGAATGAGGTCTCTACTCGTAGGACTACTGTGAACCACAATTGAGTGGGGACCTCAGTTGTTATTACCCCATTTTACAGATGAAGAAACTGAGGCTCAGCATGATTTGTGACATGCCCACAGTCATACAGACTGCCAATCATTTAAGTATTTTGCCAACTTTGAAGTTTGCTAGCAATATCAATAACAAGCACTTTTATATGTTTCACAAGTAATGACTGCACTCAAAAGAAACCAGACAAAATAAACAGCAATGTCTGCCTGGACTGACCTCAGAACCTACCTCTTCTTAGTCCCCTCCTCCCTCTTTTGTTCTGCATTTCTTTTTTTCCTCTTCTACAGCATGGTGTAGTTGGATAGCATTAGGCTTAGAACTGGAAGACTTGAGTTCAAATCCCATCCCTGGCACTTACTAACTATGTGACCAATAGACAGATCACTTAATCTCTGTGACCCCACTTCCTCATCTGTAAAATGGGGATATGGCACCTTCCTTACAGGGCTGTTTTGTTTTGAGACCAATATGAAAGTGCTTTGTAAACCTTAAAGCATTACATAAATATCATCATTATTTTTTAATCCTTTTCCTCTCTTTTTGTTTAGGTCTCTTTCTCCGTCCTCATAGTGGTCTATGCCTGTTCCTCTTCAAAGATAGCTTCTCCTAATTACTTCTTCCTCTTCCTTTCCCCCCTCCCTTCTATTCTCTTTCTCTTTCCCTCCTTCCTCTCTCTCTCCTTTCTTCTTCCCTCAGCATTCACTCCTTACCGCCCACACCATAGAAATGAAGTATATTTTAATGGTTTTTTTCATTTACCAAGTTAGTTCCATAACTCATTCTTAATTTTAAAATTGGGCTAATGGAACCTTTTAAATTTCATAGAATGTCAGAACTTGAAGTGATTGTAGAAGATAGAAAGTTCGAGCTAAAAGGAACCTTACAACATAGATTGCTAGAACAAAACATATTAGAGCTGGAAAGACCCTTAGAACATAAGATATTAGAAACACAGAATATTAGAGATGGATATAAACTTAGAACATAGAATGATGGACCAGAAAGTGTTGGTGCTAGAAGGAACCTTAGAACATAAAATGTTGGAAACACAGAACATCAAAGAAGAACATAAACTTAGAACATAGAATGCCAGAACAGAAAGTGTTGGTGTTAGAAGAAACCTTAGAACATAAAATGTTAGCAACAGAGACTACCACAGCTGGATGTAAACTTAGAACACAGAATGCTGAAACAGAAAGTGTTAGTGATGGAAAGAACCTTAGAACATAGAATGTCAGGGCTGGAAGGAAACTTAGAACACAGGATGCTAGAATGGAAAGAGACTTCAGGACATAGAATGTTGGAGCTTAGTCCATGGACCACATTTTATAGATGAGGAAACTGAGACTCCAAGGAAAGGAAGTGACTTATCCAGGGTCACACAAGGAGTTAGTGACAGACTAGAATACAGGTCTTCAGACTGCTAGTTAGGTGTTTTTTCCTATTACAGCAAAATCAATCTTGTGATAGATGAGAATAAAGGTATTGGAAATCATTTGCCCCTACCTATAAATCAACTTCCCTAATAGACCAGCCCACTCATATTTTCTGCCGAGCCATTTGATTTAAGAAGGAGCAAGTTAGCCACCAGGGACAGCCTGGTACGCTGGAAAGAATCTATTGTTAGGAGTCAGAAAATGATAGGTTCTGCAACAGAATGTAACCTTCTTGAGGGCAGGGACTGTTTCATTTTTGGTTCTGTATCCCCAATACCTAGCACAGTACCTAGAACATAATAGGCATGTAATAAAAGCTTGTCAAATTAAACGGAATAATTCCAACTCTGCAACTAACTCCTGACATGATTTTGGGCAATTTGCTTAATAATAATTATTAGATGATATTTGCCATGTCATTTTAAGGTTTACAAAGTACTTTACCTACACCATCTCATTTTAGACTCACGCCAACCCTATAAGGTAAATATTCCAGAGGTCTTATTATCACCCCCATTTTACAGATGAGGAGACTGAGGCACAGAGGGGTTAAATGACTTGTCCATGGCCACACAGCTAGGAAGTTTGGGAGGCAGGATTTAAAGTACCAGGTCTCTGCTGACTTCCAAGTTCAATGCTCTGTCCAGCTACACCAAATTGCCTCTTCTCTCCTCTAGGGGCCTCTATTTCCTCCACTATAAAAGTAGAGAGATGGACTAGAAAACCAGTAATGCCCTTTTCGGCTCTAACTTTCAGGGATTCAGTGCCGTACATCAAGGAAGGTCAGGGTGAGCTTCTTGGTTCCAAGGAAGGCTGTTACTTCCAGCAAGGTCATTACTATCAGCTGGATCAAGTTGACTTTGCCCAGGGTGGCCCCAGATGAGATGAGGACAGACATAGCACTCATGGCACCCAGTATGATCCTGAGAAAAGAAAGAGTGAGGATTGAGTTGGGGGACAAGGGTCGGGTGAGAGGACAGAGCGTAAGACTAAGGATGCCCACAACCTTCATTCTCTGCCTCTATGGAGCAGTCTGTTGCTTTGAAAACATTCTGGATCTCAGGGATCCCCAACCTTTTCTCAGTCCCCATGCCCCTTAGCTTTCAGTAAACTTTCCCATATGCCCTATTCAACATGAAAGGAAATAACATCTAGAGTTTATGACACCTATTCACATAAGAAACCAATTAAATCCATTTGTTTTTTCTTCTCCTAGAATATACAAAAAATTTTATAACTTCATCAACTGGAAATACTTTCAGAGTTTAAAACAATATTTGAATAGCATAATATAGCTATTTACCAAGTATTCTCCCTTGATAAGCTTCTGTTACCCTGTCATCCCTCTAGGATCCTAAGATTTACAGCTAGTACAAAACTTTGTGCTCTCAAGTTTAATCCAACAATAATAATAATAATAACTTGCATTTTTGCATTTTTAAAGGTTTGTGTAGTTTACATAGATTATCTCATTTGATTTTCACAATAACCCTATGAGGTAAGTGTTATTATTATCCTCATGTTACAGATGAGAAAACTGAGTCAGACAGAGGTTAAGTGACTTGCCCAGGGTCCTCCTGACTGCAAGTCTAGAACTTTCCCCATTATGGGATTCACAAGCCCTCCTTATGAGCTATAGGAAATGACATTTGACGAGGCAGTGATGTACTGAGCACTTCGGTGAATCTGGATCAGATGACCATGAGAACAGCTTGATGGTGGCTGAGGCTGACCCTCCCCATCTGCAGGCCCAACAGTCCCACTCATCCATTCTGGGGACACAAGCAGGGGTCCCTGGGCCTGCCCAGATCAGGTACCTTTGAATGTTAACGGTGATCTTTCCACTAGAGGAGAACAGGAAGCCATCCAGGATAATGGCCCACTGCACCCCGAGGGCCAGGTTGAAGAGGTTGAAGGCCACACTGCTCCATGTGTATCTCCTCAGGGAGGCCTTGAGGAAGCCCAGACCAAGCACCGCCATGACGTTGATGTCCTGGAAGGCTGCTCAGGAAAGGGTACCAGAGGAGGAAAAAGACCAGGCAAAGGGAGGAGGTCAAATAGAGGGAACATTTCTCAGTCTAAAGACATATGCCTTCCTTGCCCATCTCTCCTCAACTGCCCCCTCCCCAATGCTTTCCCCATGCCCAGAGGCACTAGGGTGTTCTAAGTCAGAGGTACCAAACTCATTGTCCCCAAGACTCTGGAGGACCAACTGAACCAGGTTAAAATGCAATTGGAAACATTTAACAGAATAAGTAAAAATACAATCAAGCAAAGATAATGTTAATTTGTAGTTTTCCAAGCCAATTGATCAATTTCTAAGTTCCATACCACTGGTCTGTGAGATGAACTGAGACTTGGGGAGAAGAGGAGCAAAGCAAGCAAGTAATCAATCAACAAGCATTTATTAAGTGTTTACTGTGTACTGAAAGCTGAGAATACGAAGAAAAAAAGAAAAAAAAATAGTGCCTGCCCTCAAGGAGCTTATATTCTAGGGAATAATGACTCTAAGGGGCTGACATCTCAGAGGGGATGGCTCCCATAGCTGGGGAGACCAGGAAAGGCCTCCTGCAGAAGGTATCATTTAAGCAGTCTTAAAGGAAGCCAGAGACACTAAAAGATGGAGATGAGGAGGGGCAGCTAGGTGGCGAAGTGGATAGAGCACCAGCTCTGGAGTCAGGAGGACCTGAGTTCAAATCCAACCTCAGGCACTTGACGCTTACTAATTATGTGACTCTGGGCAAGTCACTTAACCCCAATTGCCTCACTTTAAAAAAAAAAAAAGATGACAATGAGAAGGTAGAGCATTCCAGGCACGGGAGACAGCCAAGAAAAAGCTAAGAGACAGAAGATGGGGTTTGGAAGGAGGAACAGCAGATAGGCGCATGTGACTGGACCATGAAGTTCTCACAGGGTCAAAGTCCTCCCTCATAGACAACTGACCCTGAGCCTTCTTCTCACCCCTATTGGCCTCAGGTTTGATTGGATCACGAGGGAGAGTTAGAACCACAGCCTAGGTCCATGTCAAGTTAGGGAAAAAGGTCCAAAGAGCCAGGACTGACATAAGGGCTGTGGTTCCCAGCAAAGGAGACCAGGGCTGTCTTTGGAAGAAAGGAAGGAAGGAGTGGAGACAAATGAATCTAGGGCTCTCTCAGCTCCTCCCAGCACCTGCAACAGTGTCCTAGAAGCCACAATTTTTCTATGGAGCCTGACGGTGAGGTGTGGGGAATGAGGAGCAGGAAGTGGGGGGGCATAAGCTTCTCAAACTGACTATCCCATTAGGAGTGGAAATAGAACTGAATGGAAAACTGAACAGAACCTCTCTGGGTCTCAGTTTCCTCATCTGTAAAATGAGATTTAACCGAACGGTCTCTAAGGTCCTTTCTAGGCATTCAATCAGCAAGCATTTATTAAGCACCTGCTATGCTCCAGGCACTATAAGTAAGAGGTTTAGATACAAAGAAAGACAAACAAAAAACAAAGGCAAAAAACCAGGGCCTGATGTCTAGGACCTCACAGGCAAATGATGGCTCTGACATTGTATATTCTTAGAGCCTTTCCAGCTCTCAAAGTTTATGGTCTTAGGTTCCTTCCAGCTCTGCCATTCTAAGTTCTGAATTCCCTCCCTGCTCTGACCTTCTACATGCTAAAGACCCTCTTAGCTCTGGCATTCTGTTTCTTAGGAGGCTTTCCAGCACTGCCATTCCATGTCCTAAGGCTCCTTTCTATTTTTAATATTTTATATTCTAAGACATTCAGTGCTCTAAGGTCCCTAACCAGATCTAACATTCAATTCTCTAAGGCAGAGGTTCCCAAACTTATTTGGCCTACTGCCCTCTTTTGAAAAAAAAAATTGCTCAGTGTCCCCCTGGAAATCTACTTTCTTTAACCCTTTAACGGTTTTTTAAAAAAAATTTGCATCATTTCAAAAATACATAAAAAAATTTTTAAATGACACATCTTAAATTTAATAATTTATTGTAAATTTGTAGGGCTTGTCCTGCATTGAAATTTTGATCATGCAGTATTGCTTCATGTAATAATATAGTCCCGTATTGTAAACAAGCCATTACACGAACATATTTCTGCTGATACATGCTGGACTTCCTGACAATGAGTGACACAGAAATGCTCACCTGCCAACACTTGCTTGTTAAGACCTATTGGCGAACTTGACCACCGATCAGTTATAACTTGTATTTTGTGTGTTTATTTGGAAAATGATGTAATCACTATGACTTTAATTCTTATACAACAGATGAAACATGTACAAACGGTTTTTCAAAATTCTCTTCTTTCCTCATGCTTCCACCACCCCCTTTTTTTATTCAATGCCCCTCAGTTGCACCTGAGGCTACTACCAATCCCCTGAATCATTCCAGTGACACCCAGGGGGCTGTATTGCCCACTTTGGGAAGCTCCACAAGGTACCTAACAAGATCCAACTATAATTCTATTAGAAATGTGCCCACCTCAGAGGAAGCATATTAATATGTCAGCCCCAACCCCACCCCTGCAGACACTTTAAGTCCTTGTTTTGACACCCCTTTGTGGGTACAAAAATTTAAAAGGGAAAGAAATAAGTTTGAAAGGGGACCTCTTTCTTACAGGTTCATGTCAATTCCAGAGAATAAGAAAGAGGCAGAAGGAGTCAGAGGAATAATTCTGGGTAGGGCAATAAGGAGGGCAGGCTCAGCACCAGAAGGCCTTATCAACCTCTGCAGCTGTCCCTGCTCTCAGCTGTTTGGCCAGCAAGGACTCCCCCATGGCCCTGCCTGACATCACTGTAGACCTAGTTAGGTACCTGGCAAAAATCAGGGATGGGGGTGGGGAGGAGAGGCCTGACTGGGAGTGTCATCCAAGTTTGGTAGGGCCCTATGGTTTCCAAGAGCATCAACCCTCTGTTAACCCGGGAAGGAGAGTGTGTTCTTCTCTCCTCCCTTCCAGCGCCTTCTTCAGCCTCCCTTCCTAGGCCCTCAGAATCCTCAGGCCACCCCCTGGCTAATTGGGTTTTCTCTGTCTCCTGGCATCAGCCAAGGCATCTGACCTCTCCTGCCTTTCTGTCTCTTAATTAAATTGAACCTAACCCAGGTCCCCTCCTTCCACCCTGTGCCCTGCTTTCCAAGCAGACAGGCAGCTTAACTGATAATGGGCTCAGCACCAAGGTGTTCCTGAGTGATAATGGGCATGGAGGCTACAGCCTGGTAAAACAAAAACAGCCTGGGCCGAGGAATCAGGAGACCTGGGTGCTTTTCCTAGTCTGGAGGGTCATTGGGTATGTAAGCTTCCACTCCTCTGTCTGGGCCTCAGCTTCAAGAAACGCCTTCGGAGAGTGGGTGGAGAACTACCAAAAAGCCAAAAAGACCTGAATTCAAATCCCACCACAGATACTTACTAACTGTGTGACTGAGCAAGTCACTTAATTCCTCAGCACTCTGAACAGCTCTCTTGCATGACAAGTTACAGAGAAAGTGCCCACCAACACTGGGCAGAGGGGATTTATTCATCCAGGAGTTCCCTGAATCAATCCCAATCATGAATGACACGCATTTATTTAAATGAGGCCTCCTGATACCTAAATTCAAACAGTAATGGAATTTCCTGAGGTGGGTTGGGAGGACTGGATTTTAGGAGCAGGGATTATATCCAGCACTAAGCTTCCTATTTTGCCTGTGAGGATAATTGCCTTCAATGTTCTCCCCCCACCCTCTCCAATCTAATAGAATAGTCGCTCTTTCTATGATCCCTAATTCCTCACCCCCTTCCCTTCCACTCTGCCCTCTGCCCTTCCCAGGTGGGAGGGGGAGAAGGGATTGGCTTCTCTAACTGAGAGTGAAAAAAAACATGATACTGAGAATTCTGCAGGTCATTCGGTTCCCTGTCCTAGATCTTCCACCAGCCACTGATTATTCTTGAGTCAGTCCCTTAACTCTTTGAGCCTTAAATTTCCTCATCTATTAAATGGATAATTGAAATATATGATCTCCAGAGGTTTCCTCCTGTTCTAATGCTCTATGTTCTTAGGCCTTTTCCAGTTTTGACATTTTATGTTTTATTTTTAATAAAGGTCAAAGGATCACAGGTTTGTAGGTATAAGCAACCTTAGAGAATGTTCGGCCCATTACATTATATTATGTTACGTTCTAGCTCTTATATCCTATAATTTAAGTTCTCCTGAGGTCTGACTTTTCTTTTGATCTGAGGTCTCTTCTAGCTCTGACATTTGATGTTTTAAAGTCCCTTCATCCTATGTTCTGAGGACTCTTTTAGTTCTGGCATTTAAGCTTTTAGAATCCCTTCTAATTCTATTGCTCTACATTCTAAGGTCAGTATCAGTATCAGTATTTATGTTTTAACCTTCCATATTCCAACATTATATGTTCTGACATTCTATGTACTAAGGTCCCTTCCAGCTCTAATGTTGTCTTCTAAGGCCCCTCCCAGTCCTGACATTCTGTATTTTAACCTTCTAAGTTATAAGGTCGCCTCTACCTCTGAAATTCTGTGTTTCAACATTTTATATTATAAAACTTTATGTTCTAGCATTCTGTGCTCTAAGGTCCTTTCGAACTCTGACATTTTATGTTCTAAAGTACCTTCTAGTTCTAATGCTGTGTTCTAAGGCCCCTCCCACTCCTAACATTCTGTATTTTAACCTTCTAAGTTATAAGGTCGCCTCTACTTCTGAAATTCTGCTTTAACATTTTATATTATGAAATTTTATGCTCTAGTATTCTATGTTCTAAGGTCCTTTCCAATTCTGGCATTCTTTGTTCTAGTATTCTACACTCCAAGGCTCTTTCCAGTGCTGGCATTCTTTGTTCTAATGTTCTACTTTCTAACATTGCATGTCCTAAGGCCTCCACCCATTCAAACAACATCTGAGTCCAGACATCTTGAGTTCTAAAATCCCTTCCATCTCAAATATTCTGTGACTGCTCAGAGGCCCTAATTATTCCTAGGCCTCTCACCCTCTGGGTCCAGGTGCCCTGTCTCTGGCTTCTGGCCGAATCAGCAAAGCGTACAGATTTTCTGTGAAACCGATTCTTTTCCCTCACACCACCTGCTGCAAACACTTTGCATGCCTGCAGCCGAGCCCTGGAAATGGTGGCTAATTATGTTTCCCTCCCCAACCCCCAGTTCCAGCGTGACTGAGGTATCAAATGGGCCCGGTCATCAGCTCTGCAGCAATTGAATTAATATCTCTTTTGGATAAACATTTAACCAAATTCAATCTTGGTTTTCTCTCCCCAAAAAGTGGGCAATGGTTCCTTCGTTATCCTAAACAACTGATAAATATAGGGAGAAACCTGAAATTCATCTCAATAAAGAAAAGCGTAGTTACCCGTCTTGTTTGCTTCTGTTACACTCAGAAGAGTGCTGGGTAATAACACTGTGCTTCAGGGAGGCTCAACAGAGGAGGGGAAAGAGCATTGGACTAAGAGGCAGAAAGCCCCGTCTGGGCTGCTTACTGACTGTGCAATGATGAGCAGCTCACACGCCATCTCTTTGTGCTTCAGTTTCTACTTCTGTAAAATGGGGGTAGTGATACTCCACCCCCCTTCCAAGGTCAAGACTGTGAGAATCAAATGAGATGCAGAATTTCTTTTTAAATTACTGAATGCCATATTAACAGGAAGAATCATTATTCCCACCATAGGGTTCATAGGACCTCAAAGTTGGGATGGACATTACATGATTATCTCATCCAACCAACCAAGCAGTGGGAACAGCCTTGGCTCTGGAGTCTGATGACCTAGGTTCAAATTCTGCTGACTCTCTATGATGCTGGACAAGTCACTTTACCTCCTTCAGCTTCACTTTGCTTATCGGAGAAAGCCAAGTGGCAGTTTCGTGATTAATTGTCTCTTTATCTAGGAAAGATTTGTTCTTAAAAAGAGAAGAGACAGGATTTTTTGGGGGAAAAAAGGGACCACCATTGAGGTTGAGGGATGTAGGACAGACATCAAGTAAGATCAGTAAGGTGAGAGGGCCCTTAGAACAGAGAATGTCAGAGCTGGGAGGAGCCTTAGAACACAGAATGTCAGGACTGGGAGGGACCTTAGAACACAGAATGTCAGGACTGGGAGGGCCCTTAGAATATAGAATGTCAGAGCTGGGAGGGCCCTTAGAACACAGGATGTCAGAGCTGGAGGGAGGGCCTTAGAACCCAGAATGTCAGAGCTGGGAGGGCCCTTAGAACCCAGAATGTCAGAGCTGGGAAGGCCCTTACAACACAGGCTGTCAGAGCTGGGAGGGCCCTTAGAACATAGCATGTCAGAGCTGGAGGGGCCCTGAGAACACAGAAAGTCAGAGCCAGAGGGACCCTTAGAATACAGACAGGACTAGGAGTTAGGATACCTGCATCTAGTCCCACCTTTACTAACTCACTTTATGACCTATGACAAATCCTATTCCTGCTTCATTTGTAAAATGAGAGGCTTGAAGTAGGTGACCCTCGAAGTTCCTTCTAGTTCCAACATTCTATGATCTAAGTTCCTCTACCAGCTCTATCATTTTCTGCGTTCTAGATGTCCATATCCTAAGATACCTTATAGCTCTAGTATGCTGCTTCATGGTCTATGAGTCTTCAGATAAACTTTAGAGGAAGAAGTCAAGGGGAATCTCCTTCCCTTGAGATCTTTAAGATGAAAACAGACATCCATCCATCTGGGTGATGTGGAGGGACTAGGGGTGGGAAGTGGGCTGGGGAGGGGGTGGGGTTCATCCAAATGAGTGCACAAGCTCTAGAATTGTCCAGGTTTGCTAACAAAAGCCAACTGCACAGCTCACAACACTTACCATGATATGTCTTCAGAAACTCCGACTTCTTTGAGATTGTCTCATAAGATGCGAAAAAGAAGAAAACGAGAATGAAAGCGATTTCCAACATCAGGACCCACAAAGGCAGGAATATTCTGAGGGACTTTGGGTACTTTGAGCCCATCCTGCCCTCAGGTAGACCACTGGACCTAAGGAACTTTTCTTGGGTATAACTTTTGTCCCTTCTCCTCCTCTACTTATCCCCACCTTTCAAAAGGCAACAATTTTGTGGAGCAGATAAGGCTAAAGATCTGGGGAGGTCCTAAGCTCCCTTAGCTGTTATCTAGGACCAGCAATGGGTCTGTGTCTATTGAGTGAAGATGGCAAACTAGATTGGATGCCAGCGTTTTCGGAAGCCAGAGTAGAGCCTGGAGGAGAAAGAGTGGGAGCTATAATGACTTGAAAGAAAGAGAGAACCATAGATTCTTCCAACCATCTCTTGGAGAACCCACCAGACTTCCTGGGCAAGATGGGCCAGGCAAGAGGGACTCGAGGGGGGGCCAATTTTGAAGATTTGCATTCTTCTGAAGTGAGATCTCCTGGGATATTAGCTTTGGTCCTTTCTTTCAGATCCAATTTCTTTGGGACTCTGAAGAAAGGGCTGGTAGGCCTATCTTGACTACTGCCTTCTTTTTAAAATGTTTTTTCTATTTTTTTGTGAACTTTAAAATCATCAACAAATGTAAGTACTTTAGTATGAAAAAAGCAAAAAGAGGATTGTATATTAAACTGTTAGTTTGTATTTAAAACATGTATTAAATTTTACAGAATAGTAACAAATTGCCCTGTGTGTCTCCTTAATATTTTTTTGTTTTCATCTGCATACTTTTAAAATGTATTATTTATGCCACTGTCTTTCTTTCTGTCTTTCTCGTCTTCCTTTCTTTCTTTATGTTTCTTCCTTTCTCTCTCTCTTCTTCTTCTTTTTTTGCTTTTTGCAGGCCTACCACTACTTACTAATTACCCGCAAATGGAAACCTTCCCTTATGACAAATAAACATAGTCCACAAAAGTTTTAAATAAAATATTAGCAACTAGGCTACAACAACATATTAGAAAGATTATACGCTATGACTAGAGTTGGTTCAACATAAAGAAGACTATAAATACATTAAATCATGTTAACAGTGTTCATAATAAAACCACACAATTATATCTACAGAAGCTACAAAAAAGATTTTCACAAAATCCAACACCCATTTCTGGAAACAAATAAAAAAGGTACAAAGCATAGGAATAAATGTACCTATCTTTAACATAGTAAATAAGATCTATCTAAAACCAAGAGCAAACATTACACATAATAGAGAAAAGTTAGAGGCTTGCCAATGAGATTGAGGTAAAGCAAGAGTGCCCATGATCACTACTACTGTTTAACCTAGTCCTAGAAATGCTAGTTATAATGATAAGACACAAAAAAGAAATGGAGGGAATAAGCACAGGTAAAGAGAAAACAAGATCTTTGTTTTTTACAGACAAGAAGATGATTTACTTAAGAAACTGTAATCAATCAACCAAGCAAACATGGTGTCATGGTGTTCAATAAACCCACAAACCCCATCTCATGAGTAAGGACTCACTATGTGACTAAAAACTGTTAGGGAAAGTAGCAGTTTAGCAGAAACTGTGTGTAGACCAACAATTTGTACCATACACCAAGATAAAATCCAAATGGATACATAACTTAGACATAAATTGTGATCTCACAAACAAATTAGAAAAGCAAGGAAAAAAATTCTATTTCCAATCTATGGTTAGGTGAAGAGTTCATAACAAAACAAGCAATAAAGAAGATTCCAGAAAATCAAATGAACAATTTTCATTACAAACAATTTAAAAGTATTTGCATAAACAAATCTAATGCATTCAGTATTAGAAGGGAAACAAGTAAATGAGGGGAAAAAATCTTTGAAGTATATTTCCTTGGTAAAGGCCTCATATGCAAATTTATAAGCCTAGGAAGCATTCCCCAGTAGATAAGTGGTCAAAGGATATGAACAGATATTTTTCAAGGGTAGAAATCTAAGCTATCAATAAACATACAAAAAAGATGCTCCAAATTACTAATAATTAGAAAAATGGAAAACCCCTCCAAATACCCATAAAAAATGACTCTAAACAAATTCTAGAGCAGCGGAGCCCACACAAAGACTGAGTGAAACAAATTTCCAGCCCAAGACTACCTGGATGGTTGATTAGAAAGGTCTATTGCTCCAGGCTGGGAGAGGAGCACAGTTCATCATGGGCGAGGAGGCAAAAACCAGGCCTCATCGAACCTGGAGCAGACCTCAGAGGACTGAATCACGGGCAGCTGTGGTGGTTTCCAGACTTCTCAACCCACAAGCACCAAAGGCAACTTAGAAGATCAGTAGGAAAGGTCTGTCAGACCATGGGGAGAGAGAAGTTTGATCTGGGCCCAGTCCCAGTGCAGCCTGGGGTGGCGGCTGCTTCTGGAGCTCTCAGCCCACAGACTGAAGGGGGATCAAGCAGCTGATCAGAAGGGGATTGCAGGGATCTTTTTTGCTGGTGCTGAGGCAGGATTCTCTTGCTTTGCCTGTGCTTGGATCTGGGTCACAGTCCTAGGTCGTGGTCCTGGGACAAGGAGGAGCTCTGGTGTGGTAGAATTTGTGGTGGCGGTGGAAGGGAAATCCTCCTCACAGTTCCAAGGCAGAAAAGAGTGCTTGTGGTCACGCATAGACCAGAGCCCAGGCCAGGAAAGGAGTAAACACCTTGCCCTTGATTGTACCACCTTGGAAGAACTGAAAATTTACAAGTCCCTAGAAGTATCTCTGAAAACAATTACACACGGGCAGCTAGGTGATGCAAGGGATAGAGCTCTGGCCTTGGAGTCAGAAGGGCCTGAGTTCAAATCCAGCCTCAGACACATAACACTCACTAGCTTAACCCCAATTGCCTCATCAAAAAAATAAAAATAAAAAAAATAAATGAAAAACAGCTGCACAAAACCCCCTGAAGCTTAGGCCAGTACAATCTCCACACTGGAAGCAGACCCCTACCTTAACAAAGAGTTTTTAACTCAAGTAATTGGCTGAGATCATGAGCAAACTTCAAAAAAAAAGTCAGACCATAGAATCTTTCTTTGGTGACAAAGAAAATCAACAACAAAGAGAAGACAATAAAGTCAAAGCTCCTACATCCAAAGCCTCTAAGAAAAATACAAATCAGTCCCAGGCCATGGAAGAGCTCAAAAAGGATTTTAGCAAGTAAGAGAAGTAGAGGAAAAACTGGGAAGAGAAATGAGAGTGATGCAAGAAAATCATGAAAAACAAGTCAACACCTTGCTAAAATAGACCCAAAAAAATACTGAAGAAAATAACCCCTTAGCCTAACCCAAATGGCAAAAGAGGTCCAAAAAGCCAATGAGGAGAAGAATGTCTTAAAAAGCAGAGTTGGCCAAATGAAAAGGAAGTCCAAAAGCTCACTGAAGAAAACACTTTCTTAAAAATCAGAATGTAGCAAATGGAAGCTAGTGACTTTATGAGAAATCAAGATATTGTAAAACAAAACCAAAAGAATGAAAAAATAGAAGACAATGTGAAATATCTCATTGGAAAAATGACTGACCTGGAAAATAGATCCAGGAGAGAGAATTTAAAAATTATTGGACTATCTGAAAGGCATGATCAAAAAAAAAAGAGCCTAGACATCATCTTTCAAGAAATTATCAAGGAAAACTGCCTATGTTCTAGAACCAGAGGGGAAAATAGAAATTGAAAGAATCCACCAATCACCTCCTGAAAGAGATCCCCAAAGGAAAACTCCTAGGAATATTATAGCCAAATTCCAGAGTTCCCAGGTCAAGGAGAAAATATTGCAAGCAGCCAGAAAGAAACAATTCAAGTATTGTGGAAATACAATCAGGATAACACAAGATTTAGCAGCTTCTACATTAAGGGACCACAGGGCATGGAATATAATATTCTGGAGGGCAAAGGAGATAGGATTACAACCAAGAATCACCTACCCAGCAAAACTGAGTATAATCCTGCAGGGGAAAAAATGGTCATTCAGTGAAATAGAGGACTTTCAAGCATTCTTGATGAAAAAACCAGAGCTGAATAGAAAATTTGATTTTCAAATACAAGACTCAAATAGAACATGAAGAGGAAAATAGGAAAGGGAAAATCATAAGAGACTTATTAAGGTTGAACTGTTTACATTCCTTCATGGAAAGATGATATTTGTAACTCATGAGACCTTTGTCAGTATTAGGGTAGTTGGAGAGAAAAGATAGATAGATAAATAGATAGATAGATAGATAGATAGATAGATAGATAGATAGATAGTTGTATAGATAGATAGATAGAGGGCACAGGGTGAGTTGAAGATGAAGGGGTGATAGCTACAGGATAAAATTAAGGGATGAGAGAGGATTATACTGGGAGAAGGAGGAAGGGAGAGGTAGAATGGGGTGAATTATCTTACATAAAACAGACAAGAGAAGGCTTTTGCAGTGGAGGGAAAGTGGGGGAAGGTGAGAGGGAATGAGTGAATCTTATTCTCATCGAATTTGGCTTAAGGAGGGAATAACATGCACACTCAGTTGGGTATGGAAATCTATCTTACCCTACAGGAAAATAAGAGAGAAGGGGATAAAGAGAGTGGGGAGATGATAGAAGGGAGGGCAGATTGGGGGAGGGGGTAATCAGAAGCAAACACTTCTGAGGAGGGACAGGGTCAAAAGAGAAGATAGAATAAACAGGGGACAAGATAGGATGAAGGGAAATATAGTTAGTTTTTCACAACATGACTACTGTGGAAGTGTTTTGCATGACTACACATGTATAACCTATATTGAGTTGCTTGCATTCTCAATGAGGGAGGGTGGGGAAGGAGGAAGGGAGAAAATTTGGAACCCCAAGTTTTAAAAATAAATGTTAAAAAATGTTTTCACATACAACTAGGAAATAAGATATACAGGCAATGGGGTATAGAAATCTATCCTGCCCTACAGGAAAATAGAAGGGAAAGGGGATAAGAGAAGGGGGGAGGGGTGATAGAAGGGAGGGCAGATTAGGGGAAGAGGTATTCAGAATGCATGCCATCTTGGGGTGGGGAGGAGGGACAAAATGGGGAGAAAATTTGGAACTCAAAATCTTTTGG